AGAAACCTCTAAAGATACGCCACAAAATTGGCAAGTGCATCCTGAAACAGCTTCAATGCCTCGCGCTCAAGTTGGACTTGCTTACCTCGAAACTTATTCAGTCCGGGTTGAAGGTGATATGAGGGGATTCCTATTGTCATCATCGTACATGCACTGTGATAATCAGGTATTTCTATGAATCTTTCGCTCGGCAACGCTCTTGGGGTCGCGTAGATTTGGCGATGTTTTTTGTGAAGAACGTCCAACGTTTTCTTGATAGACGCACTCACACCCTCGAAAGTCTTGCTTGCTTTGTCTTCATGGAGCATGATACGGTTACTGACGAAAGTGTGAAGTTTCGGAATTGCGAGCCCCTCTTCTTTCGCGCTTTTGGCAAAATTGAGTTGGGCGTAAGTTTCTATTCTTGAGTTACCCATACCGTTGCCATAGAGCAGTGCGACAACGTTCTCCACAGCCCGACGTGAACTATCATCTGGGGTAAAAGGCACGACAACGTTCTCTGCGGAGGCGAGTGCTAATTGGGTATAGATAGCGAAGCTCGGATTACAGTCGAAGATAAAAAGCGTGTCTCTGTTATTACTTTTCTTACGTAACGTAAACATTAGATCCTTAATCCAACTGAGTGTCTGTTTCCACGCGTCTTCTGGCAGAGTGAACTCGGATATCTGGCGAATTGCTCCTGAGAGAATTTCCAGCAGATTATCGCCACACACCAAAAGCAAATTGACCGGAAGTTTTGCATTAAAGTCCCGAGGCCGACACACATACGGGGACACGTCCTTGAGGTGTCGAAAAGGTGAATTTAGGCGTGCTTCCAGGTAGCCTGCAACTGTAGCACGGGGTGTCTGTCCCATTAATTTATGGATTACATCGGGATTAACAAGCAAAGTTTCAGAGATGCTCGCTTGTGGACACATATCTATAACATAGACATCGGTTCCCGGGTAAGTACGGGCATACTCTGTTGCCGCAACAAAGCTTAAGAAACTCTTGCCAACACCGCCTTTATTGTTCCAGAATGCGTAAGCTGTCATAATGCCACCCCCTCCCAAAATGAGAAAACTTGTGAAAAACTTCTTTAAAGTTTAGCACAAATTGGTATGGTATGTCAAGCTTGCGGGGCTATTTGTAAGAAATCGAATTTCTGGCGTTTTTGACTCGCGAGGTGAAACTGCCTACGTCCTGGATGAAAAGTATGCGTCGCGAAGGGAAATCGTGCTACAGAAATGCACTTTCGGTCATGATTCGCTGAAGCCGTCAAGGAGTTGCTGGAATGTTTCAGGTCTGTATACGTCAAAACTCTCTTGATCGACATAGACAAAGTCATAGTAATACGACATTTGTTGAGGCTCTGTTGACATCCTCACACCATTGCGATAAGCGTTGCATCTTGAGCGGCACATCCAGATCCTCTCTCCCTTTCGTCTCGGCAACAATCATACGTCCATCTGTCAACTTAACAAGGAAATCTGGGTAGTAGTTGCTGATGTCGCCATCGGCGTTGATATAATCGAGTTTGAAGGGCATCCCAGGGTAGTTTTTGGCGTAAGAGAGACATCGGGGCAGTTTTCGAGAAATGCGGCAAATCCAATTCAAAATGACTGTCCCCGGTGATTCTATTGAACACAGATTTTTGGGGTATCAGGGATTCTTGTTCTTTGACCATAAAAGGTCGTGTGTCCTGGACTCTGATAGTCTCGCTCAGCTCGGCATCGCCTCTATCCTGGACCGTGAGGTCGTTGATAGCGCGTTTGAAGGTTTCGATGACGGTTTTTGTGGCAGGCAGTTCTGACAGGCTGTATAAGGTATTGGGGGCCTCCAGCAGCACAGTTTCGCCGAAAAGTCGGTCCTGCACAAAGTCTTTAACCTTTCCATATAGCACATTGTAACCGCTGACGAGTCGGAGGTCTTTGCGGAGAGTCTCTGCAAAATAGCCGAGTGTGCTACGATAATCTGCGGCTCCACTACCATCTAACACTGTGGTATGTGTGACCTCGCCCGTTGTCATGTCCTTGAAAACGATTTCGCGTTCCGATGTTTCGTCCAACTCTTGGTAGGTCACAGGCGTAAAATTGAACTGTGTGACATCCAAATCCGCGAGGCTCTTGTATTCCCGATAGAGGCGGCGCGTGAGTATCGGAATTTCAATATCAAGTGCGTCAACATCTTGTTGACATTTGCTTTGTCTACCTCAACCACGAGAGGGGCTTTCGGTTTTGTTCCTTCACCCATGGCTTGGCGTTCCAATTCAACCCCTTCCGATTTAATCGACTCAACAAATTCCATGAAGGCATCGGTGCCAATGACACTCACAGATTCCTTCTCGGTCCCGGCATACATCAGACGCAGTCCGCGCCCCAAAGTCTGTTCTGGCAAAATGTTGGGTTTGGCGGAATAAGCACGGAGTCCGACAATGGTGGTAACGTTTTTGACATCCCATCCCTCCTTGAGCATCAACACCGAGACAATTGCCTTGTATGGGCTATCCGATGAATCGATCGCATTCGCCTGCTTACGGAGTTTCTCAAGTTCCTCTCTGTTTCGCCCAGATGTCGCCTCGGAGATTTCGCCGTTTTGTTTGGTGTGAATGACGAGAACGGCATCTTTGAGGTCCAGGTAGCGGTTTTCGAGGTAAGTTGCTACATCATCACAGTTCCGGGTATTATCGGTCATTACAAACAGAATGGCTTTCTTACCCAATTTTTCGTGTTCTGCATAAGCCTTACGCCACTCGATAACACCGAGGTCAAGGTAGTCCGCATATTTCTCTGTGTACTTCACACTTTGGCGTTCATCAAGTTTTGCCCGGCTCTCAGCATCAGGAAGGACGGGGTGTTTGACGATGTTTTGCGAAATCGCCTCTACGAGGGGATAATCTGCGACCGTCTGCACAAAAATTGCACCGTTACTGTGCTTAGGCGTGGCGGTTACGTCTACTTGCAACGCCAATTCGCCGTCTTTTTGCAACAAGCGATTGTGAATATCCTCAATGGACTTGAACCATGCTAACTTCGGATCGTGGACGTGGTGCGCTTCATCGTTAAGGACCATCAATTCGTCAATGTCGCGGACGATGTCCCCGAGATCCACCTTTGAGTCTGTTGTTGCCCCTGTCGGTTTGTTCCCTAAGAAGTAGTCCATACTGTTTTCATCATCGGGTGAAGGTGGGGATCAATCGCTGGAATAGACGCGGTGGATATTGGTGAGAAAGATATTGCCGGTGGCACGGGTGGTACGCACCTCGTCTTGGACATGTAGGGTGAGTTGAAAATCGTTTCGCCAATTGTGCCCCTCAAAGCCGTTATCGGGCAGCACCGGATCTTCAAAGAAAATACGGAGTCCTTGAAAATCGTGATAGAGCCGATCAAGCACAATGATATTGGGGGCAATAACGAGGAAGTTGCGCGAGAGTTCGGAATCCTGCTCATATAGTTTGTGAAAGAAACTCCACGCGATTGCGAGGCTCATTACCTTTGTTTTGCCTGTACCCGTTGCCATCTTTATCACAAATCGTCGCCAGTTTTCATCAAACAATCCAGTCGAAACTGCACGAGAACTGTCAAAGCGTATCATATCAACCTGGCCTTTCACCTTAACGACATCGTATAGGTAGATGATGGTTTCGAGTGCCTCGCGTTGGGCGAAGTAATACTGAAACTCACCCATTGTTCCGTCAGTTTGTTCTCGCAGATGCGGTGTCTTGAACCACCAATTGAGTAGTGCTTTGCTTGTTTCGGAGGCATCGCTGTAGTTGCTGTCACGCCACGTTCTGACTTGCTCCCGGATCTTTTGCACAAGTGGGCGGGAGTAGCATTCCGTATTCCATACCCAACAGTAGTGTTTGATCTGGGAGCCAACGCACTGAAGGGTCAATGATTTCGTGTGGAGATTCGGGAAAGTCGGGGTGTAAAGCCATGATTAGATCTTTTTGTTCATATTTAATCCAGTCATGGATCTGAGATTCAACAGGGGTGTCATCACGCCACCGGCGGCGGGGAGGACAACTCCGGTATCGTAAAGTTTCATCGCAGAAATAGTGGCATGTGCGACATCTTCAGGCGCGCCAGCGCGGACCATGAAGATATAGCCTTTCTCCGCCGCTTCCTCATAATCGGGAATACGGACGCGCGACAGGTCTGTATCAATCACGCCCGCAGCGATGCCGTTCACTTTAATGCCGTGTCCCGCCAATCGTCCAGCAAAGGCGCGCATGCTCATCTCCAATCCCGCTTTTGAGATACAGTAGGCGGTTCGGTTGTCGGATGCCATTATATCGGAAATTGAGAGTGTGTAGATAATACAGCCGCGAATCTCGTTTGCCACCATGTAGTTCGCGACGCGTTGCGTGAGAAAGTGGGTTGCTTTGAGGTTGGTGTTGACAATCAGGTCGAACTGTTCTGGTGTCTCTTCAAGAATGTCAGCGATACGGGTGATGCCGGCGTTGTTGATGAGGATGTCAACCTTCCCGAAGGCATCGTGTGCGGTGTCAAGGAGTTTTTCGTGTGCGTCGAAGTCGCTAATGTCCGCTTGGATAATAACCGCTTTTCTGCCGAGTGCCTCTACTTCCTGTTGTACAGATTCGGCGGCATCACGATTTTGGTTGTAGTTGATAAGCACGTCGGCACCTTGGCGTGCCAATTCAATTGCGATTGCGCGTCCAATGCCGCGGCTGGAACCTGTTACGATTGCGGATTTGTCGGTGAATGAAACATCTGTTGCGAAGAATCCGAGGTCCGTGTCTGTTGGCATTTTTAATTTTTCCTTGCGGTTCGGCCAGGTTAGTTGGATAAATGAAGTACCTTTGCGTATATCCGCCCTCCATTACATTACGGGCTACGGGTTTTGAGGCTATCTTAAACAGATGGATCTCATACGGGGTCCAAGTAGGTAAACCCAGTCGAGGCTTATCTGGAAACACCTGCATTCTGCGCAGGTTTCCTATAGAGGCTTGCGGGACAATGCGAAGCAAACCGACGCAGCAGTCCAGGAGCAATTTACTTTTAATCTGAATATGGGTCAGCGGCATCGCGGAGGGCATCTCCTAAGAAGTTAAAAGCGATGACGACGACGAGAACTGGCACTGCGGGGAAAATGAGCCACGGGTAATCGAGCAGAATGGTGACACGCTGTGCCTCCTCCAGCAGGACACCCCAACTTGTCATCGGTGGACGGATGCCCAAACCAAGAAAACTGAGCGCGGTCTCCCCCAGAATCATGCCGGGAATAGCGAGCGTGGCGATAACGATGATATGGCTATAACACCCGGGTAGCAAATGTCTTGTGATGATGTGCCAATGTCCCGCGCCAGCAACACGCGCTGCCATGACGAAATCGCTATCCCGATATGACAAGACCTTTCCGCGCACTTGCCGTGCCAATCCGCCCCAACGTATAATCGACAAAATAATGGTGATGCCGAAGTAGATCTGGATGCTCGACCAACCCGGTGGTAGTGCGGCACCGAGTGCCATCCACAGCGGGATGTCTGGAAATGCCGAAAGGATTTCAATAACGCGTTGGATCAGATTGTCTACCCACCCACCCCAGTATCCAGAAACCGTACCGAGGATAGAACCGAGAATGATGCTCAAAAAAACTCCAACCAAACCGAGCGTCATTGAGACGCGCGCCCCGTACATGATACGCGAAAGCAGATCGCGCCCCATCCGATCGGTGCCTAACAGGAACAAGGGACCAGCAGAACTGAAGAAATGTCTCCTGCCCGCTGCATCCTTAAAGAAGAATCAACAGGATGACGCTGCGCCAAGTCTTTGGTGAATTCTAACTCAAGCGTGTCTGAGTTACGGACGGATTTTAATCCGTGGACATAGAATCCGTCTTGGACCGAGAAATGGAGACGTTGGGGTGGTACGTGGCGCAGCCGCATGTTGATTTCATTGTAGTGATAGGGAGCGAAGAAGTCTGCACCGATGGCAAGCATGTAGAAGATGAGCAAGAGTGCCCCGGCAATAACACCCATCCGATTTTTGCGAAACCGTCGCCATATCAGTTGGCGATAACTCAGCTGTCCTATTTCGCCTGTAGTCTCTATTTCTTGGGACAGCCTCGATTGCCTGCGCGGGAGTGCTTTGTATCTCATTCATAACGAATCCTCGGATCTACCCAAGCGAGGGCTATGTCTGCGACCAAATTACCGATAACTAAAAGGAGACTCAACATCATAATTAACGTTCCCGCAAGATAGATGTCCTCGTTCAACAGACTCCGTAAGAGAATTGGTCCGACTGTTGGTAATCCCAAGACAATTGAGACAATTGCTGAACCGGAGAGAATACCGGGTAGACTCATTCCTAAAATACTGATGAGCGGATTGATCGCAATTCGCACCGCATGCTTACTCACCACGACGATTTCTTTAAGTCCTTTCGCTCTTGCCGTTTGGACGAAAGGCTGTCCGAGAACATCAAGTAAGTTGCCGCGCATGATTCGCATCAAACTCGCGGTTCCATTGATCCCGACGACAATGACAGGTATCCAGAGGTGTTTGAAAAGGTCGCTCAGTTTGCCCCAGGTCCACGGTGCGCCTTCATAATAAGCCGAGAATAGCCCGAACAGGGGAACACCAAAGATGTCAAACACAAAGACCATTAACGACAGTGCCAAGAGAAACGCCGGTATTGACATTCCGACAAAGCTGAGAAAGGTGAGAAAGTTATCTGACCATTGGTATTGATGCGTTGCGGAATAGACACCAAGCGGGATAGCAATAACATAGGTAAAGATGAGCGATCCGATAGAGATAATCAAGGTGAAGGCTATTCTATCCCATATCAGTTCGTGGACTTCTCGCTTATACTCAAACGACTCGCCGAAGTTTCCACGCACAAAGCCGTTTATCCAGATAAAGTAGCGTTTCCACAGCGGTTCGTTCAAGCCGTAGCGTGCCCGCAATTCCTCAACATGTGCCAGTGAGCTGCTATCGCCGAACTCCTCCTCTAAGCGCTGAATTTCCCGATCAAGGTAATCGCCTTGTGGGAGCTGGATGATAATAAAAGAGATAATGGAAATCGCCATGAGTGTCGGAATTGCGATCAAACATCGGCGAATGATATAGGTAATTATGGCTGTATCTCCTTTTTATTTTTTAAATGATTCGCAAAGCGTTAAATAGAGCAATTAGTTCATTACCCGTTTTCTCCCATATCCGCCTGCGCCGGTGTTGCAGGCTGCTGTCTTGGATAAACCCAAACCCGTAGCCCGTAATGAAATGGAGGGCGGATTTGAGGAACGCACGTCAACGTCCAAACGTCCGTTGTTACTCCGCAAGGTATAATTAAAAATTAGACATCCAGCACTGTTCGGGATAACTGGTTGCAGGCGTGACAATTGCCCATGGACCCAAAATGCCGTCGTTTGGAACGTTGTGGAAATGGTTCCCTACGACTAAGAGCGATGGCGAACGCCCAGCAGAACCGAGGTGAAACGGTCCCTCGTCAATGTGAATCCTGACTGCGTCCCGTACATACTGATGTCGCTGTTTTTCGTCGGGTTCCTTTTTAATCTCATCGTATAAGTCAAGCAACCGCTTTAACGGTCCGGTGGGGGGTTCGCCCTTTTCACCGCCCGTTTCATACCATTTTCCTACCTTGGGGTGCCAGTACTTAGCGAGTGTTGGAAATACCCAATCAGGATAAGTAAAGAGATCCATTTCCGCCTCACCGTGCATACTGATTGTGAACTTGCCAAGCGTGCGACGCAAACTTAATTCGGCACCCGGAGGTGTATAGAGCAGCGTTTTTAAGCCGAGCTGCTCCCATCCCTCTTGAATAATCAGCCCGATGTCATTCTCCTGGCTGTTGAGATTAGAACTCGGAACGTCCATAAGCATCTCAATCCGTTTGCCATCTGGACGCAGTCGATAACCATCTCTATTACGCGCCGTAAGTCCCATTTCATCTAAGAGGCGGTTTCCTGCAGCAATATCAAAGTCTGCATCGGCTCGCTTCCATTCTTCAAAGAGGGTTTGTCCGTCCTCATCAGCGAAGTGCCATCCCTCTTGGCTGACGGTCGCCGCCTGGGGTTCCAACAAGCCGCGCCATGCGATCTCGTTACACTTCTCGCGATCGACACCGTAAGCGAGTGCCTTTCGGAATCGCTGGTCGCGAATGAGTTGTCTTAAAACAGGGTCGGGTGCGGTCCAGTTAATCAGGATAGCGGGTTGTGCGCCAGCCGTGCTTTTCCACCGCCGTATTTTATAGCCACCTTTCTCCTGCCCCTTTAGATAGAGTGCGAGATCACGGAGTTCCATCCCACGATATTGGCAATCGATCTCGCCGGCGAGGATTTTGAGGACGCGAACCTGCGGCTCAGGTACCAAACTTGTCTTGACTCTGTCAATGTAAGGGAGCTGCCTGCCGAGTTCATCAACGACATAGTAATACGGATTACGTTCCAGCTCAACACGGAAGCCCCCCTTTTCATATTTTGTCACCCGCCAGGGCCACAACGTTGGACGTCCTGGGTTCTGATGCGGGATATCTTCTTTCTCGAATTGAATGAAATCGGTATATTTGGCGTTGTGATCTGGGTGGAACTGCACCATGTAGTGTTCGGGAATGTTATACTGATTGCACCACCAAAAGCCGGTCGCTAACCAGAGCGGCACGAGCCAATTGGGACCTGCGAATTTCATTACAATCGTATAATCATCAGGTGTTTCGACTTCCATGGGTATGCCGTTTACCTGGCACCAAACCGGTGGGCTGTACTTATACCGTTCATCAAGGCAGAGCTCATAATAGAAAGCGAACGAGGCAGAGGTATAGGGATGCCCGTCCGACCATTTGACGCCCCTTGCGGAGATGTAACGTCAACATACTTCCATCTTCATTAAACTCCCATGATTCAGCGAGACCGGGTTCCAGACCAGAGGCATCAAATTTCCATCGGATGAGTGGGGCATAACCCCCTGTCATCTTCCAGGTGCCCAAATCTGGATGTGTATGAAACCGGTGCCATGTGCCACCATAGGTACCGGGACGTTCATATCCATCAAAATTCGTCTTGGCGACGAGCGGGTTTTGTGGAAGCCGTTCAGCGAGAGACGGGAGTTTGCCTTCGGCGACAAGTTTTGCCCACTTCGGTGCCTCTTTCGCCTCAAGCCCACGCGGAAAATCGGAGGTATCTTCCAATGGGTTTTCTGAACATCCAACGACGAAAATCAGCAAGATAATCAGTACTTTAGCCGCAGTCTGAGGGATTTTTATTCGCTTTCGCATTTCACTTATCCTCCTCACGCTTTGCGAGAGAATCCGTGAAGGCATTCAACTCTTGAGAGACGGTTGTAAACAATTCGTCAATTGACTTGGCGTGCTCTACTGTTTTTTCATAAACCAATTCCCTACCATAGATATTCGTGACTTTGTGACGAAATTCCAAAAGTTTTTCCAATTGGAGAGAGGTATTTTCGGAAATCACGGGGGGTCGTTCCGGTCGCTGTTCCACCATTTGGGCAAGTAGATTTTTGTGCCATCTACTTCCAGTCGGCACGTGCATATCTACCTCACGGGCAATTCTCAAAAAGATGTTCTCTATCCCTCGATAGACATCGGCGAGATCAGTAGCGATAGTATTTTCGATGAATTCTCTAACATCAATAGAAACTACCTCAAGTTTTTCCAAACCTCTCGTGACTCTTTCAAGCGTTTCATTTATTTTTTCGAGTTCATCGTTGATGCGTTGCGTCAATCTTTTTCGGTTCATTTCGTAAATTTCTCCGTCGTTAGCGGGGAAAACCTGTTGCTGAAGATGTTTGTAAAGCGTCCGCCACACATCTGTCATACCATTCGGGGAACGCATGCTTTTTTCGATAGGAATCGCTTGATGTTTTACCCGCTCCCGGAAAATCCCTTTTGATATATCCAGATTGATAAAGTCTATTTTGAACTCCGAATCAAAGTTCATAATTTTTTTGTATGCCTTATCGTACGCATCATGCGAAAGCCCCGACACAGCGATATCGATATCCGACCCACTTGTGAACCACATCGGCTCTGTAAGTGAACCGAAGACAGCGACTTGAGTTGCGCCGAACTGTTCATAGAGGAGTGCAGCCACCTCATGCACAGTGTGCCATGCCCGATGGAGCAAACCTTCGTCCACTATCCGGCTTTTCCAGAGTTGCTCGAGTCGCTTTCGGCATGCGGAGAGTTGGTCTGCAGACATCTTTTGTTTTGACATCACTCTACTCCCTGTAACTCCAACGTATCACTGTGATGACATGCCACCTGAACACCCGGTGCTACCTGACGGAGTTCAGGGGTTTCCTGTTTGCATATATCGGTTGCGTAACGGCACCGCGGGATGAAAATAGCATCCAGTAGGCGGTTGAGATGAGTCGGGGACATCCCCTTCAAGACGGATATGTTCACGCTTGCGCTGCGCTCTTGGATCTGGAAGTGGCACCGCGGATATCAACGCTTCGGTGTAGGGGTGCTTCGGCGATTGATAGAGGGTTTCAGCATCGCTGATCTCCACAATTTTGCCGAGATACATAACTGCGACACGGTCGCTGATATGCTCAACGACACTCAGATCGTGTGCGATAAAGATATAAGAGAGCTGGAACTTCTCACGGAGCTCCGCCAGCAGATTGAGAATTTGTGCTTGGACGGAAACATCCAATGCCGAGACTGGTTCATCTGCGACGATGAGTTCAGGCTGAAGTGCTAACGCCCGCGCAATACCGATGCGTTGACGTTGTCCGCCACTGAAGGCATGTGGGTATCGGCGCATATCCTGCGATCTCAAGCCCACAGATTCCAGTAGTTCAACAATTCGGTCTTGAAGTGCTGTCCCTTTTGCGGTCTGATTGACGCGCATCGGTTCTCCGACGATGTCTCCCACCGTCATTCGTGGATTGAGCGATGCGTGTGGATCTTGGAAGATCATCTGGATACGTCTACGATAGGGACGCATCTCTCGATGGTTCAATTTCGCTAAATCTACCTCTTCCTCACCAAAAAGGAAACTCCCGCTTGTGGGTGGAATTAATCGGAGTAGGCATCGTCCTGCTGTGGTTTTCCCGCAGCCACTTTCACCGACGAGACCCAGCGTTTCACCGCGCTGGACATCAAAGCTGATACCATCGACCGCTTTGACGTAACCGACAGTGCGTTGAAAGATGCCTTTCTGTATCGGAAAATACTTTCTGAGATCGTTCACCTCAAGCAATTTCACTTTTTAATTTTTCCTTGCGGAGTAATCACGAGCGTTAGAACTATAGGATGCGTCCCTTAAATCCGCTCTCCATTTCATTACGAGCTGCGGGTTTTGACGCTATCTTAAGAGGTAAACTGTGTTAGACGAAAACCTCTTTACTGACTGCTAATCACTATTTTTCCTTGCGGAGTAATTGAGTGGGTTCGGTGTTTAACGTGCCTTCCCCTTGAATCGCCTACGCCGATGTTACAGGTTTTTAATTTTTCCTTGCGGTCATGAGGAATAAATTAATAATCTGTGTGAAGCCAGCATCGGACAGTATGTCCACGGTTTTCCGTTTTTTCATTGATTGACTGCGAGTTCTGGCATCCGCTCACATTCTGGCATCCGTTCTGAACACCGGGGTTGAAACGAGCACCCCGACGGCAGTGTCAAGGGGTGTGGGACTGTTCCCGGTATGGAGGGCAAGGTTCTCTGCGGCGTTCTTCCGAGGACAGGTATAGACTTTAGCAATCCTTGCGTGTAGGGATGCAGAGGGTTGTAGAAGATGTCATCAACGGTGCCTTTTTCGACGACGCGCCCTGCGTACATGACAACGACTTCATCAGCGAGATCAGCGATAACGCCGAGGTCGTGGGTGATGAGCATAATTGCCATCCCCATTTCCGCTTGAAGTTCCTGCATGAGACCGAGGACCTGCGCTTGGATAGTCACATCGAGTGCGGTTGTGGGTTCATCTGCAATGAGCAACATAGGTGAGCAACAGAGCGCCATCGCAATCATAACACGTTGACGCATGCCACCGGAAAGTTGGTGCGGGTATTCATCAACGCGTTGTGTAGGTGCAGGTATGCCGACGCGCGCAATCATCTCGATTGCGCGTTCGCGTGCTGTCTTTTTATCAACCTGCTGGTGTAAGGCAACCGCTTCAGCAATCTGGTTTCCGATAGTATAGACTGGATTGAGGGAGGTCATCGGTTCCTGGAAGATGATGGCAATTTCGTTGCCGCGGATTTGGCGCATCAATTCACTTTTCGGCGACACCTGTGCAATGTCTAACGGGTCATCTTCACCGTTGCGATAAAATTGGATCTCACCGGCTTCGATATGTCCCGGTGACGGCACGAGTTGAAGCAGCGAGAGTCCGGTGATGCTTTTCCCACAGCCACTTTCGCCGACAACACCGACGGTCTGCCCGCGACCAATTTTAAAACTGACATCGTTCACGGCATTTACGATACCATCGTCTGTTGGAAAGACTGTTTTTAAGCCCGAAATTTCCAGGAGCGGTTTTTCGTGAGATGTTTTTTCTGGTGAAGCCATTCTCGTGAGTTACCTTAGAGGGTATGCCAAACTTTGGGCTATTATACACAAAAAACTGTTGTGTGTCAATTGTTTTCTCCAAATTTTCGATGTCAAGCGTTTAAAAAAGAAGAGCGCGGTTAGAAACCGCGCCTCCAATGGCTGAGCAATGAATTGGACTACTATGAGCCGTTAAACAGATTTGTAAAATCAGTTGTGTTCGCCACCACCCTCGCTGTCGTGCTCACCCTTGCTTTCACCACCGCTATCTTCACCTCCACCCACTTCAGGATGGGCAGTCCACGCGGTAAAGCCTGTGCTGGTTGCCACGAGTTCAATATCTCTTATTTCACCGGGGGCGAGGTCGCCTGAGGGCGTAGGTCCGAGTTCTGTTTCCGTTTGATAAATGAACTTCAACTCGGACTTGCTTCAAAGTTTCGTTTGTAGTGTTTTCCACTGTCCCTTTGAAGGAATTGGTTTGCGCGTCGTAAGTTAAAATCAACCGGGCCCCGCTTCGGACCTTATCATATTGCTCATTCAGTGCGAGCTCAATGTTAGATTCTTCGCCTTCGCCGCTAGTGATTAGTTTGTCTGTTGTTGAACAACCGCTAACAATGAAAACCACCAAGGTGATAACAATTGCGGCGAGAAGAGTGTGAATGCGATTCAAGAATATACTCCTTTTTTCGTGAATATTTTTTCATTGGGTTTTAGTTCAATCAAAAGTTTAACTATATGGGTGAATTGTTAAATTGAAATTTTTGATTGCGCTTAAGTACAATCAAAGGCTATAACTCCGTTTTAATGTGATTCCAGAACACAGTCAACTTCTCACTCGCAACGTTTTGGGAATAACTCACAACGCTGGCTTCACCTGTCTGTTTGTCAGCACCTGTCGTATCGGTGCGCCACATCTGCGATGAATCCTGCGTTGTTGTACTGAAGAAGTAATCAGGCGTATGCTGGACAGCGATTACAGCCTGCTGCGGTGTGCTCGGGTTCTCTACTTTCGTTTCAGTGTCTTTAACCATTGCCCATGGAGAGGGTGAGATCCTGACGTGCCGAAGCCGTGTCCTCTCCATTGCGGTCAAACCGAACTCCGGTTCCTGTGGATTCGTAAAGAATGCAAGTTTCATGACAAAACCGGAAGCGACAAGGAAGAAGAGTAAGACGATGGCGTTGACTAACCTCGGAGAGAAATCCAATTTTAATCGGTCAAGACACCATGCTAAGGGACTCGCGAAGAATGCGAGCTGCTGTTGTCGATGGAGTTGCCGGACGCGCAGTTGAATGTTCCCGACTAATTCCGGCGGTGGAATTGGGGCATCTGTATTTTCCAGTACATCTGCGGTGTGCCACAATGCTTCGTACTCCCTTTGGCATTCTGGGCAGGTCCGCAGATGCTCCAAAAGGGTGCGTCGCGAAATTCCTTCAGAAATCGGTTCAGTCGTTCGTGCATCCCCCTGCACGACGAGGTGTGGCAAATTGTTAAGAGTCTGTTCGCAATTTAAATTCATCAAGACCCTCCTTCCAAAAGATAATATTTGCTCAGCTTCCGCTTGAGATTTTTCAGTGCCTGATTCAACCGTGAAGCCACGGTGCCTTCCGAACACTTCAAGATCTCAGCGATCTCCCGGTACTTGAGGTGCTGCATATAGTATAGTGTGACGACTTCGCGTTGCTTCTGTGGTAACCGATCGATGGCACCTTGAACCATTTCACTCCGCTCGGTACTCACCACCGCCCGTTCGGGTGAGTCCGTTTCAGAAACCGTGCCATCCACTTCCGCTTCTCTGCTGTAAGCGGCAAGCTTGCGTTCATGCGATTGCGATTTACGGATATACTGCTGGCACGTATTGATGCCGATACTATATAGCCATGTCCCGAACTGCGACTGAAATCGAAACGCCTTAATTGACTTGTATGCCTCTAAAAACGTTTCTTGCGTCGCGTCGGCGGCATCTTCAGGATTGCCGAGCATTCGGTACGCAAGCCCATAAATCTTTGAATGATGTCGATTGACGAGCTCGTTGAACGCCTCGGCATCGCCCTCCACTGTTTGGTGTACGTACACATCATCAGGAATCATATTTTTAATTTACCTTGCGGTTCGGTGAGAGTGAGTTTCGGATGTTGTCTGATTTGTTGCCTCGAAATTGATTTCCCTTCACTTTTTTTCAAAAGTGGCAAACACATCTATAAATTGGGATGTTGTCTGGTTTGTTGCATCGGAATCAATTTTCTTCATTTTTTCTTCTCAAGAGCCAAAAAAAGAGAAACTATGTACTAACCCAATTCTATAGACATAGCACCCCTACGGGGTGGGGAAAGTGCCTGAAGAACCCTATTGAAATGTTCAAAATTTGTTAGTGGCAACTTAGGTTATGTACTAATTTTTTACGACTGATTCGTTAAGTCTCGAACCCTTATACGGCTTCACACGCCTCACAGACTAAGGCGAAACGTTTGGTGCCGTTTGTCTCAAACTCGGTCTCGTAATCATAACTGACTGGCACGTTTGACGCGCCACACCAATCGCATCGTCCAGAAAAGGTGTGCGCTTTCTGTCCCAACAGCACTTCCTTCTGATCCTCAACGTTTCGGGTAGCGGCAATGAGGTCAAGTGCATTTTGGCGAAGCTTCTGATCGGTTTCCTCTTTGGCGATTCTTTCAAGGAGCGGTTGCAGTCTTGGATCGTTCGGATTTCCGCCATCATCCAGTGTATGCCACGCGGCTTTGCGGACGCGCACGTCGGGATCGACCAACCCTTTGTACAGTGCCACCCACACTTTGTCAATGCTTTTCCGAACGTGACAGGGACAGAGATTGTCCATTGCCTCGACGCGATCATCCGGGTTGGAAGAATACGCGAGAGAGAGGTAGTATTCGACCTCGTTACCGCGCAACCGGTCTTCACCCCGACGATGTGCTTTCTTTTGATATTTGTTCATGCCTTTTAATTTTTTTTGATTTGCCATCTGCTTCCTCCGATTTCAAAAAATTATAGCAGGAGACCTCCAATTTTTCCAGTTAATCGGCAAATGTGGAAGGATATCGAGATTTACTTTCGCGAACATCTACGATCACACAATATTTATGCTATACGTTATTGCCTACATGTAAGGTCATTTAGTTTTCCATACTTCAAGTCCCTGGTTCATAGTAGGGAAACCATTTATTGCCCGTTATATACACTTTTAGAACGTGCGATGAATCGCACTACTACAAACCCACTTGCTCATAGTCCGAAAACTATTTATTCCCTGTTAATACAAAAAATCCCGTAAATTTTTAAAACCAAATGTCCCTAACCTATACACTTATCCCTTTTCCAGATCTTTAAGAATTTGCGCGATGATGGGTTGGAGTAGCGGTTTTATCGTCAGTAATTCTTCAATCATGACGTGACTCCTTCAAGAAACGGAGAACCCACGACGTGAACCCACTACTTTGCCCCTTGTACAAGTGCTTCGACTTCATCAATCTCTTTCGGGACACCATCCGTCAGCACTTCACAACCGGTCTCAGTGATGAGGATATCGTCCTCTATGCGGACACCGATGCCGAGGTACGCCGGTGGGACATCTTTCGTGTCATCAGCGACGTAGAGTCCCGGTTCAATTGTCATCACCATTCCGGGTTGGAAGGTTTTGAAATCGCCGTTGGGTTCGTGGACGCAATTGACATCGTGTACATCTAAACCGAGCATGTGTCCGACTCGGTACATGTAAAACTGCCGATATGCCTCTTTCTTTATCAATTTCTTTGCTTTCCCCTTGAGAAGGCCGAGACTGAGCATGCCTTCTGTCAATAACTCAATCGATTTTTGGTGTGGTTCGTTAATAGAAACTCCAGGACGGATAGAATCAATAATGGCATAGTGCGCTTCAAGAACAATCTGATAGATTTCTCTTTGCGCTTGAGTGAAGGTGCCGTTTGCAGGGAAGGTACGGGTCACATCACCCGAGTACCGACCATATTCTGCGCCTGCGTCAATGAGGACAAGCGTTTCGTCTTCAATCCGGCAGTCATTTGTTGTATAGTGGAGCGTCGTCGCGTTTCCGCCACTCGCAACGATAGTAGGAAAGGCTATACCGTTCGCACCGTTCATGCGGAAGGTGGATTCAACGAGAGCCTCCAGTTCGTATTCATACAGCCCCGGGCGAACCGCCTTCATCGCGGCGACGTGACCGGCTACGGTAATCTCCGTCGCCAGTCGGGTGCGCTGCAGTTCGGTCTCATTTTTGATTAACCGCAGTTCGCTGAGAATAGGGCTCGGATCAACAAGCGTATCAAATCCCTTCCCAGAGCGAATTCGTGACCTGACGGACTGCGAGAAGCGCGCGAGGATTTCGGCATCAACATCCTGATTGGAACCGAGGGTATAGTAAAGTCGTTCGGCACCTTGTAGGTATTTCCCGATTTTCTCACTGAATTTCTCTATCGGATAGGCTTTATCTGCCCCGTAGCGTTGACGAGCGTCCTTAACGCCAACGCGTTTACCGTTCCAGATTTCCGCCTGCTTATCTTTCGGACGAACGAACAGGATATACTGATGTTTCGGATGATCGGGCGCGATGACACAGATCGATTCCGGTTCTTCAAACCCCGTAAGGTAATAAAAATTCGGATCCGGACGATAATTATATTCGGTGTCGTGATTCCAGATTGCGGGGGGTGTACTGGCGAAGATAGCGACCCCGCCACATCCCATTTTTTCTATAAAGGCTTCGCGATTCTGCTTATGCAAGCCGTTCCCTCCTCATATTTTAATTTTACCTTGCGGACTTTTAATTTTACCTTGCGGAGTAATGAGCCTCTATAGGCTTGCGCAAAGGACGTTTGAACTGTTATGTGCGTTCCATCTATCCGTCCTCCATTTCATTACGGACTACGGGTTTTGACTGCACAACCTAACAGGTTATGCCACAAAAGAGCAGTGTGCGTAAGTCCTGCTTTAGAGATATTCGATCGGTGTGCCGATTTTGCCGACGATACCACCGCTCGCGACCATTGGATAGATGGGCTTTGCCCAGAAAATACCATCGACTGGCGCACGGATGGATTCCCGCACATTGCCAAAGACATCGCAGATGTCAGCTACCGGTTGATACATCGCAAGTTGTTCATATAATTCCGCTTTGTAATAGACAAACCCGCCTTCATTGCTGAGGACCGGTACAAATTGTTTGACAACAATTTGCCGTTCAGGAATCTGTGGTGTTCCGGCAATGAATTTATAATATTGTAGTACATTGAGCACGCCGCGCACACCCTTTTCGATGCTCTCGGCATCCCACCCATGGGTGCCGCCTAATTCGGGGTCGATCGTTGGAATGCCGACCTCTGGTGCCGCTTGTGCGAGTTGTCCTTCTGGTCCCTTTTGACTGAGAATATGCCCTATGCCGAAGACGCGCGCCAACTCAAGGCAATCATCATGAAGCGCGTGTTTCTCGTCAACGCGCACGCGAACCTCGTCGATCATCGGGTGTACGCCGCCCTGGTGCAGATCGAGGCAGTAATCGGCTTGCTGGATAGCACGCTGAAAGAGATGATATGCTATCCGTTCGCTTGAAGTGCCGTCACGTCTTCCCGGAAAACAACGGTTCATTTTGCGGTTGTCCACGGGGTTCAGTGCCTGTTTCGTGTGAAACGCGTGGAAGTTGACGAGCGGTACAGCGATAATCTTCCCATACAACTGCTCTGGTGCGATCGTACAGAGCACTTTGTGAATAACGGCGATTCCGTTGAGTTCATCTCCGTCACTAATCGCTTGGATGTAGAGTGTTTTGCCGGGGTACCTCCCGTTGATTAGCACAACAGGCAATCGGACAGCCGTTCCGTCAGGCATGCTACCGACCTTTATATGTCCTTCTATTCGGGTTCCGGGTTCGGCGACTAATTGCCCAACTACCAGTTGACCATGGCGAATCTTATTCCTCATAACGGCTATTTTACCAGAATCCGCGAAATAAGTCAAATCATTAGCAGTCGGCAGTCAGCGGTCAGCGGTCAGCGGTCGGGATTCGGAGATCCCTCCTACCGAAGACCGGATTATCCCTTGATTTCAAGGGGATTTTCTGGTAAACTTATAGGCATCATGAACACAGAAAATCAGAAAAAAATAGCCGCAGAAAAGGCGACAGAAAGCATCCGATCGGGCATGGTTGTTGGATTAGGGACGGGTTCTACAGTTTACTACGCGCTCTTGAAACTTGGTGCGATGGTGCGGGAAGGGCTCGATATTGTTGGTATCCCTACCTCCGCAGGCACCGAGAAAATCGCCATAGCAGAACAGATACCCCTCGCGACACTCGCTACGCACCCTACCCTTGATTTGACGATTGACGGTGCCGATGAGGTTGACAAAGACCTCAACCTCATCAAAGGTGGCGGTGCAGCACTCGTCAGAGAAAAGATTATCGCCAACACATCTAAAAAGATATTGATTGTTGTTGATGAAAGCAAGGTATCACGTGTCCTCGGCACGACATTCCCACTCCCAGTGGAAATTGTGCGGTTCGGATGGGAGGCAACCCAAACCGAAGTCAATCGGATTTGTGGGGAATCAACATTACGCCTCGCACCTGCTCAGGATGGAAATCAACATCCACTGATTACTGATAATGGCAACTATATCCTTGATTGCCACTTTGACGGCATTCCCGCCCCGAAAGAGATTGAGTTGCGATTGAACAATATTCCCGGTGTCGTGGAGAATGGAATTTTTGTCAATCGTGCCGACAAGATTATTATCGGCACGTCCTCCGGTATCCGGTACATGGGGTAACGCTAATGGTTAAACACCGGATTCTGCTCTACCTACTCGTTTCCGTATTCATCACAGTCTCTCATCCGGTTAGGGGTGAAATATTTACAGAGAGTGGATTGGTAAATATCCCAACGGGTCGGGTGCTGAAACACTGGAATATTCGGGGTAGGCACGTACGTTGCTTTCCAGTATCCATCTGAAAACATGTCCGCAACTGGGGAGAATAACTCTCTCGCCAATGCGCTCGCGATTCGCCTTAACTTCGGGCTTTTTGATCGGGTTGAAGTTGGGCTAAAGCACCTATGGACCCAACGCTATTTCGAGCCTTCCACTGAGCAGACTGTGAACCTGAAGGTCCAACTCTTAAAAGAGCAAGAGGTTGGCGTAATTCCGAGTGTGGCGATCGGGGTTGAGAATTTCGGCGATAAATTTCTTTCGGGGAAATTAGAGGCGGAAGAGGATGAAAATCCTCCGACGTTTCTTGTTGTCAGTAAAATTTTTAATCTGCCGCGGATTCACCAATTTTCTGTGCACATCGGTATTGGTACGCAGCGGTTCGCGTCCGCGGAACGTCCTATCGGTCTGTTTGCGGGTCTGAGCAAAGAATTTCAACCGGCTTTCGCGAGAGGCGACATCACGATGAACTTGGAATTCGATGGCACAGGCGTGAACGCGGGGGTGCGATATATTACCTCAAGTGGACTTCAGGTCGCCCTTGGTGCTGAGACTTTGAATAGTCCGGACGAATTACGCTACCTTATCGCTACTTCTTGGACAAACGAGCAGCTTCTTGAACAGATCGATGAAACGAGACGGTTAATCAAACTTGCTACAAAACTTGCTATTGAAGCGAAGCGCGCGGTTTCAAAAAGCTCCGAATAGCAAATCTTGGAAACCAGCAAACTGCTACAAAGAGACAGCAGAAATTATTGAGGATCCTTTGCCTCAATAGATTCCATCACTTTTTGGAGCGATGTCATCAATTCGGATAAGAAATCTTGGGGTGGCACGAGTATAATTTCGATTCTCCGATTTTTGGCTTTCGCTTCGGCTGTGTCGGCAGTATCTATCGGTCGGTAGAAAGCGTATCCCGTCGCCGCCAAGCGTTGGGCATTGACTTTAGCATGCACCTGTAAGTATTTCACAGCGGCTATTGCGCGTTCAGTTGAGAGGTTCCAGTTTCGGAGTTCGGAACCGCCAATAGGGGCGTTATCGGTATGTCCCTCGACCTGCACTGCATAATTTGCATAATTCGTATTTAGTAGCACCTCCTCAGCAATCGCATCAAGAAGCGTCTTCCCCTCCGGACTCAGGGTGGCTTTTCCAGTTTCAAACAGAATTTTTCCTTTGACATCAAGTGTCAACCGTCCTGCTTCATCCAACACAGCCCCAACTGTATCCTTAAACCTCTCTTGGATAGCCGCAATTGAACGTTGCGATTGCACCCGAATCCGCTGCAATTCGGACTCAATCTCGGTTAGTTTTGCGCGGAGACTCTCTTTTTCGCGTTCAAGCGCGCTTTTGTCCTGTTGAAGTGTGTTCCGTTCAGCCGCGATTTTTCGAGCGGCTTCGCTGGCATCCTGCAATATTTCCTGCGTTTGGCTGAGTTCTGAACGCGTTGCCTCCAGCGTGTTTTGGGTTTCGGTTAACTTTTTCTCCAACTCCGCTTTTGCGGTTTCAGTTCTCTGCAAGGTGATATTGGTAGCAGCCAGTTCCGCCTGCGTTTGCTTGAGTTTGCCTGAAGTTGAATAAAGTATTACTGCCAGAACGATGGCAGCGATAGCAGCAATACAGATAGACACAATTGCAAGGATTCCTTGTTTAGACATTTATCTCTCCTTGTAGGCTCAGGATAGCTTCAAAGCTGTCGTTTTTTGATGTTTTGTTTTTCTTCTCTATGCCACACGTTGTGCAGCGGTGGGTCAGGATATAACCGCCGTGTTTTATAGTGAAGCCTATCGGTTGCATCGAGCCGCGACAGGATGCGGATCGGTCCCCGGGGTTCACGTCAACATGTCGGCTCCAGAGGCATTCTGGACAGTGATTGGTGTAGCCGTTCCCCTTGACAGAGGTACCACAATGCGCGCAGATGAAATTTTCAATGTGGCGTTGGAATTTTTTATTCACCGGTTAGTTCCTGCATATTTGCTTTCACTGAGCCGATCCAGAGTCCGTTTTAGACTTGGCGATATAGTGGCAGCACGTTCTAAATTCCAATGTTCTCGGATAAACTCCATCAAACGGGTGTTATATCCATAACCCACTGGAATTTTTGCTCCAGGTTCCGGAACCAATTCATCCCGTAATCTTCTTTTTTTACTTCTTCGTGCAAGTGAGACAAGGAATTCTTTGGGGTTGGGGATATTGTCAGTGTTTAACGGGATACGATTAACAGGTATTGATAGAAAATTTGCGACACCGGTACGATCTGCCATTAACCATGATTCAACTTCCATAACTGCCACTCGAAAGAAAAACCTTGGATTAAGAGGAGCCCTAATCCATGAGTGAATAAGCTCCGGAGGACAATTTTCAGGCGAATCTAAATCAGTCAATAGAAAAATATCCATCCCATTGGCAGATTTGTTGAGTTCAGGTGCTTTTTCTCGAAGGTAAGGATTGCCACCTTCTCTAAGTATGACCGTGATTTTAACATCAAAACTATTTAGAATTTTAGTCGAAATTGCCTCGCCGAGTTCATCCTCAACTGCCAGGATTACACTGTTTAATATCATTCTAATAAGCTCAACTGTTCAGCATTTTCTGGTCGAGTTCGTGAAATCACAACTTCACCGATTGTAAACCCATTCTCAAGGAGCGTAGCGACATCATCAAAATCAGAGGAAGGCATAACTGCTGTTCCTTCTTTGGCAGGCATGAGTAAAAGGACTTCCCTGCCATCAATACCCGGCTCTTTAAGAAGCGCATCACTGTGTGTGCTAACTAATACTTGACATCTTCTACCTTTTTGCATTCTGGAAATCAGCGGAGCGAGTTGTGATACAATTCCCGCGTTTAATGAGAGCTCGGGCTCTTCCAATAGAAGAACCGAATCGCTTTCGAGGAGAGACCACAGAAGCCCAAGTAGCCGGAGTGTCCCGTCAGAAAATTGGTCTTCCTGTTGCCAAATCCCTCGCGACCGCCAATGCGAATAGAGTGCCCGTAAGTGGGGTCGTCCTGTGTTCTCATCGCGTATAAATTCCAATTGCTCAAACTGTGGAACCGCAATTTTGAGTGCCGATTCTATTTTTTTCAGACGAGAACGACGGGTTCTTTCGGTAACACTGGCAACCCTTTCAAGAAATCCCTGTCCAAACGGATCTTCTTCAACTATTCTACCCTGAATCGAATCTGCAAAGCGAAGAAGTTGTGGCACCAGATGGAGGTAGGTGACGTTTCGGAGGAATCGCGCAATTTCTCTGAACTTTGCATTGGCAGCACTTTGTTCAAGCGCTGTCTGGGTAAGGCGATCTAGATCTTCTTTGTCGGCTTTATCGGGCCTATCAAGAAGTAGTTCACCGTCTCTCCACACGCGCTCATGCGTGAGAAGCGTTTGGCAATGTCCGCGAACGCCTTGGCAAAATCCGACGCCATATCGCCATGTCTCAGGTGCATCGGGTGTGTCCGCAATATGAATTTCGATGGCAACTTCTGGGTCCTCCTTCCCGGACAGAGACCGGATTTTGGAGACTCCACCACGGTCGTTGACTGCTTTCTGAAATCCGCCACCGTCCGTCTTGACAATATCTCGGAGAAAGCGAAAGATGTCCAGCAGATTGGATTTGCCTGAAGCATTTGGACCGACGATAAACTGACGTTCCCGAAGTGGAACATTAATCTGTCGAAAGTTCCGCCAGTTTTTTGCAATAAGTCGATTGATAATCATAGTTCTGCCCGTGTCATGAAGGTTGCGTAGATAGCGGAGGTCCTGACCAGATCGGGAATATGCACGCGCTCATTGATGGCGTGCCCTCCCTCGCCACTCGGTCCGTAACCGATTCCCGGCAAGCCCGTATTGACAAAATAGTGCAAGTCTGTAAACCCGGTAGTGCCCTTAAATTTCGGTTGATTGAAACGGACAATGCGCACTGCATCAGCGAACGCCTGTGCGATCGGCGATGCGGTATCCGTCAAACAGGGTTCGATTCGCAAGATAGCCCGTGCTTCTGCAACCAAATCGGGATAGTATTGGCACGCCCCGGAAATCGCCTCACGCAATTCAAGTTCGGCAAATTCGAGTTCCTCGTTCGGTGTCACCCGCCGATCAATTGAGAACGTAACACGTGCTGGAACGGTGTTGACTTTATCGCCATCGGTTCCGCGGAACGTTCCACCGATGTTCACTGTTGGATAACGATCACTGCCATCAGCGAGTTTAAATGCGCGCTCTGGCAATTTCAAATTTCTTTTGACCCGTTGAAGTGCCGTCACAAGCTCGGCAGCCTTCTCAAAGGCGTTTATCCCCTTATCTGGCTGCGCCCCGTGTGCGGCTTTGCCCTGGACCTCAACCTCTAACCAGAGTACACCGTTATGCCCGTTGCCGATGTTCATCTCGGAACCACCTTCGCAATTGACGACGTAGTCGGCATGAACTAACCCTTCCTCGACAATATACCCCGCGCCTAACTCTCCGCCGGTCTCTTCATCACAGGTGAAAGAACATTCGATGTTGAACTGCGGTTTGACCCCGGTCTCTTGGACAACCTGAATTGCGAACAGGAGTGCGGCGATGGCATCTTTCATATCGTCGGATCCACGCCCGTAAAGCCACTCGCCATCAATCTCGCCACTGAATGGGTCATTGAAACGCCAGTCCCCTGCAACCGGGACAACATCGTAGTGTGCATTGAAGTGTACCGTCTTCTCTGCCCCGACATCCCAACGGGCGACGAGGTTCAACCGCGGATGGCTGTCGGCGTTCGGGATAACCTGTTCAGCACGCGCCGTGGGGACCTCGGCAATCTGTGTCTGCATTCCCAATGCCTGACACTTCGCGTCCAGTAGCCCAACAATTTCGGCATAATTTTCGCCGGGTGGGTTGACAGTAGGAATCCTGACGAGTTCCTGTAGCAACGCACAAAGCGCGGCTTGATTGTCCTTAATATAGGTTTGAACGGACATTTTAGGTCTCCTCAGTCGTTGTTATTTGACAACCGCCTGATCGCCCGGTGACAAGTGTTCCACGGTTTCGCCTGTCTCTGTAAAGGTGCGGGTCACGCTGACAGAAGCATAGGTCCATAGGATTTTCATGGGTGCGTCGCTTTCATTCCAGAACCGATGCGGGATGCCAGCGGGAACGAATGTCGTGTCTAAGGCTTTCATGGCGAAGACCTCACCATCAACCTCACAGGAGGCTTCGCCTTCAAGAATCGTAACGGATTCATCGCAGTTGTGGTAGTGGCGTGCGATTGCTGCGCCGGGGTCAAACATTGTCACGCCGTTGGTGAGTGACGTGGAATCAATCCATTTACCGGCTAACGGGACGGTTTTCACACCGGTTCCCCGATCAATAGGGTTTTGCTTCTCAAAGTCGATGATATGTGCTTTTGTGCTCATTTCTGATCCGCCCTCTTTCTTAAGATTTACATCAGTTTAGCATGATAGGACAAAAATTTCAAGAAATAAAGGGACGATTCGTTTTCAGTTATCGGTGGTTAATTGGTAGGCGAGGTTTTATGAAAGTAAAGCGTTTAAGTGGGGTGTGGAAGGTATCAATTGTTTGAATGCACCTCGCATTTGGGCGAGTACGCCGCAAATCGCGGATTATCACGGATTATCACGGATTATCACGGATGACGCGGATGACGCGGATTGGAAGAGATTTTCGGATTGCTCGGCGTGGCTTGAAACTGTTGCTTCAACGAAATTTGGGGAAAACCGCTGCGAATCCAGCGATCGCTTGCTGCATCTCCGCTTCGGTGTGCGTTGCCATGACGGTAAGCCTTAATCGACTCGTTCCCGTTGGCACAGCCGGAGGACGGATCGCTGGCGCGAATACACCTTCAGCAAGCAGTGCTTCTGCCACGCTTGTCGCCCGTTGCGGATTCCCCAACACGACTGGTAGGATTTGTGTTTCACTCGGTAGTAGGGTATAGCCTAAATCAATCAACGCTGTTTTGAGGCGTTTCGCATGCGAGAACAAGCGTTGCCGTAATTCGGGTGCAGATCGCATGAGGTCAAGTGCCGCATTTGCAGCAGCCAACGTCGCCGGTGGAAGTCCTGTCGTGAAGATGAAGCCACGCGCACGGTTGACGAGCAACTCAATCAGGGCATGACTCCCCGCGATATATCCACCGAGTGCCCCAACTGCCTTGCTGAGTGTGCCCATCTGGACAATGCCTCTTCCTTCCAATCCGAAATGCGCGACGGTACCGCTCCCGTCCTTCCCTAACACGCCAAACCCGTGTGCGTCATCTACCAACACCATCGCATCGTGTTGCGCGGCGACCTCACAAATATCTGGTAAAGGGGCAATATCGCCATCCATGCTGAAAACGCCATCTGTTACAATGAGTCGCCGCCGGAACGCGGCGGATTCTGACAGTAAGGCACTAAGATGTTCTACGTCACAGTGTCGATAAACCTGTTTGGTGGCACGACTGAGACGGCATCCGTCTATGATACTGGCATGGTTAAGCGCATCGCTTAAGATGACATCACCCTCACCTGCAAGCACAGGAATCACACTCGTATTGGCGGCATAGCCGGAGCTGAAGACAAGCGCGGCTTCAGTCTCTTTTGCCTCCGCAAGATTGGTTTCCAAAGCCGTGTAGAGTTCACTATTCCCTGAAATGAGACGGGAACCGCTTGCGCCTGTGCCAAAAGATCGCGTCGCCTCAACAGCGGCAGCGATAACCTTCGGATGTGTGCTTAACCCCAAATAGTTGTTTGAACCGAGCAGCACGACATCCCTGCCATCAAGATTAATTGTCCCTGTTGGGGCACTCCTGACGGTACGAAGATGGCGGAGCAAGCCAGCTTGCTCCAGTGTTGCGCATTCTGTGTCCAACCAGTCGTAATTATATGTCATACAAAAAGTAGATTCGGTAATATGTATCGTTGAAAACAGGCGAGGTTGGAAACCTCGCCAGCGAGCGGTACGCCTACCCGATGAACTGTCTCAGGAAGATATGGCTTTGGCTTAAAGCACGCTGTCGTTCCTCTAACGTTTCCTCATAAGCCCGATCTTCTACTTCAACGCAGACTGCCCCATCATACCCTGTATCACTTAAAACGGAGAAGAAGTTGCCCCAGTTGACATCCCCTAATCCCGGCAGTTTCGGCGTATGATACGACAGAGGCGTTGCGAGGATGCCTACCTCGTCAAGCTTCGCTTTGTCCAACCGAGCATCCTTCGCATGCACGTGGAAGATGCGATCGGCGAAATTGGCGAGCGGTTTTAGGTAGTCCATCTGGAGCCATATAAAATGGGATGGATCGAAGTTAAGCCCGAAGTTGGGGGAAGGAATCTCCTCAAACATCCGTTCCCAAACTGCGGGACAATAGGCGAGATTTTGCCCAGCGGGCCATTCGTCTTCTGTAAAAAACATGGGGCAATTCTCAATTCCTATGCGGATACCGTGGTCGGCAGCGAATTGGATTAAAGGCTCCCATACCTGCTTAAAGCGGTGCCAATTCTCATCTATCGTGCGTGTCTGATCTCTGCCAATGAAGGTGTTTACGATGTCCACCGACAGACGTTCCGCCGCCAGAATCAGTTTTTTGAGGTGTTCGCTATAGATAGCGGCTTCTGCCTCGTCAGGAGTCAGTGGATTGGGATAGTAGCCCAACCCGCTGATCGTTACCCCTGCATCCGAGACGCATTGTAAGATTTCATCCGCCTCTGTATCGGAAAGTTCCGCTACATCAACGTGCGTTACGCCGGCGTAACGGCGTTCCGCCTTTCCTTTGGGCCAACACATCAATTCAACGCAATCATAGCCGGTATTAGCCGCGAACTGGACAACTTGGGTCAACGTTTGCTCCGGCAAAATTGCACTCACAAATCCGAGTTTCATACATAACCTCTGTTCTGTTTTTAGACATTTTACTATAGAAAGGAGCAACTCGCAAGTGTATATTGAGATTGCCCCTATAATTCGCTGGTGGGGTTTGAAGCCTCGCCTTTAACATTCAAAGCACACGTCTCAGAAAAAAGCACTTGACGAAAATGGAATCGTGTATATAATGCACATGCGAACGATTGGTGGACTTTCCAACATACATCAATTACAGAGAGAGGAACACATGACACCCAAACAGCGATACCTTTTTGACTTAACGGGGTATATCCACCTCAAAAACGTCCTCAGCGACGAAGAATTGCAAAACGCCCAAGATGCGGTTGAGCGATGCGTCCAAACGCCGCAGGATGAACTCCCGCCCGGTATTAGTTACGGCGGTGGCGGCTATTCCAACGGTTTTTCGTTCGACAAATCGCTTGAGGCACTTACACTTCATCCGAAAACGTGGCCAATTGTGAAGGAACTTACTGACAATAAGCCCCGTTTTAATCGAGGTAGCCTCGTTGCCAAGGGACCAGAGCACGATCAAGTTATCGGCAAGTTGCACTGTGCTCGTGAAGATTGTGGATGGCAGACGCGCCGCTATGATGTCAGAGATGGACAGGTTCACTGCAACGACTTCGTCGTCTTTTTCTATTTCGCCGATGTCCACCCCGGCGATGGCGGCTTAGTTGTCCTACCGGGTTCCCACAAAGCAAACTTTGAACGCCCGGAGGGGATCTTCTTCCCGGATCCGGAGGATCCACCCGATGAACTCCATCCTGCGTTAGTTAATGTGACAGCGCGTGCTGGCGACGCAATTGTCCTGTCCGAACTGCTGACGCATGGGGTTCTCATCTGGAAACCGAAGGAGCGGTATCGGCGGTTTCTCATCTTGCGTTACAAAACACAGTTTTTCCAAGACACAAGGGGACACAGAGATCCATTTCCACCTGAGGTGATGGAGCGACTTTCCCCTGAAACCCGTGAACTTTCGCAACCCGCATCCTATACGCATATCAAGGACATTGCCAAAAGCGAACATGTCCGGGTGACCTAAAAGGAGTGAGAATGACACCAGAACAACGCTATCTATTTGATGTTACAGGCTATTTGCACATCAAGGGTGCAGTGAAAGGGGATGCCCTGAAGGAGGCACAAGAGGCTGTGGATCGGTATATTCACATGCCGCTTGATGAACGTCCCGAAGGATTTACGACGCGTCCCCGTGAATTAGAGCCCGGCAAGGGTGGGAGATATGAACACGGATTCGCCTTCGACCGGTGTCTTGAAGCGATGGCAGTGCACCCCGCTATCTGGCCCCTCATCAAAGAGTTTACCTTCGACAAACCGAGATTTGTCACAGGGACTCTCACGCTGGAACAGCACAACCCAGATAGGCAACCCATGGGAACAAATCCATCAGGTTTGCATTGCGCCCGTGAGGGACGACAGTGGTCAACTCGCTATGAGGTCCAGAATAGGCAAATCTACTGCAACGACTTTCGTGGCGTTCTTCTATTTGACAGACGTGCAGCCCGGCGACGGAGGGCTTGTTGTTATCCCCGGTTCGCATAAGAGTAAATTTGAGAGACCTGAAGATCTGCTTACCCCGGGACCCGATGGCATTGATCCCGAACCCGACGATGTTTTCACCAATCTCACGCCTAAAGCGGGTGACTTTCTCGTCATCTCTGAACTGTTGACACACGGCATTTTGCAGTGGAGACCCAAGGACCGCGATAGACGTTTCCTTATTCTCCGCTATCGTCCACAATACGATGGCAAGCAAAGTCTACCGGAGATAATCGTCAACCGGTTAACACCTGAAGTTCAGGAACTGGTGCAAACGGCATCTTATGGACATACGAAAGAAATTGTTAAACAAGACGTTGTAGAGTTAAGCGTTTAACGTGTTATCAGGCTTTCTGTATAGCAAGTCAATGTAAAGCAAAGACAAATTATGCCTTAATGGCATAATTTGGTTTGCAAGCCGCACCGAAAAGGGAGGGAAAATCCAATGGGAACGAGTCAATATCGTGTTTGCATTGTTGGTTGTGGTAGAATGGGCGGTACAATTGATGAAGAGGTCAGTGCAACACCCCACGGTGCGTTGCCCTACTCGCACGCCGCGGGGTATACTGCTTTTGAACGGACAGACATTGTCGCCGCTGCAGATGTCGTGGAAGAGAAGGCACAATACGTCTGTGACAAATGGAATATCCCGAAGTACTACTTAGACTATCGCGAGATGATCGTCGCAGAGAAACCGGATATTGTCAGTATCGCTACGCGTCCGGGGAATCATGCCGACATCACGCAATTCGCAGCGGAAAATGGTGTAAGAGGCATCTATTGCGATAAACCGCTTTGTGCCTCTATGGAAGAGGCAGATGCGATGGTAGAAGTGTGCGAGAAATACAACGTCAAGTTCAACCTCGGCACACAGCGTCGTTTCACGCCGGGATACATCAAAATGCGCGAGATCCTCGAAAGTGGTGAGCTTGGTGAAAGACGTTCTATCATCGCCTATAGCGGTGGTTCTGCCCTCTGGGGATATACGCATGCCGCGGATATGCTTCTCTTCTTGGCAAGCGACTCTCCAATAGAATACGTGCAAGGCAACGTTGCCGTCGATGATGCTGATTTTGAGGACAACCGCACCGAAACCGATCCCAGTATTGTCATGGGATTTATCCGTTTTCAGAACGGTATTAACGGCATCAGTATTCCCGGCACGTCTTACGAATTTGAGGTGAATTGTAGCGAAGGCACGATTCGTGCCCTCAATAATGGACTCGGTTTTCACCTCCGCAAACGGCAAGGGCAGTTTAACGAGATTTTAGAAGCGCAATTCCCACCCTATGAACGGAAGAGTGGCACCGTCGGTTGCATTGAGGACATCGTCGATGCGATCGAAACCGATACCGAAACGCAAGGCAACATACACCTCGCACACCGAAGCACCGAGATGGTTTTCGCAATCGTTGACTCACAACGACAGCAGGGTGTCCGGGTGCCGATGCCAATGGAAAATCGGGCACTTTACCTCGGAAGGTGGTGAAACTCCTGTCTGAACCAGGATTTACAGGATTTCAGGATTGCCAGGATAAAACAGGGTGGTATAAAACCGATGCTCGAAAAATTTTATGTTTTGGCATGTATTATTGGCGTGGCTTTTCTGCTGACTTACGCCACAACTGTGCTAAGCGGCGAGTCGCAATCAGAAACCGTGCCTACGCGCCCAGCGAGTACAATCTACAAACAGGGGCACACCCAGCCGAGACGGTATCGGCAAACTCTACATGGGACGCGAAATCTCTCACGTGATGGGGCATCAAGGTGCGGAATGGCTGGAACGTCCCGAACGCGAACACGAAGAGATGCCGAATGCCCTCGTCGAGCTACTGAAACTCAAAGAAGGAGATGTCGTAGCGGATATCGGTGTCGGCACGGGTTATATCGCTCGGCGTATCTCCCCGAAAATCGGTGAAACAGGGACCCTCTACGGCGTAGACATTCAGCAGGAGATGCTCGACCTACTTGCTGAGAAGATGGCGGAGTTGGGTATCACGAATGTCAAGGGGGCTCTGGGTACCATTACTGACCCGAAATTGCCGCCGGAATCAGTGGACTTAGCGATTATGGTGGATGTGTATCACGAGTTTTCGCATCCGTATGAGATGATGCAGAATATCTGTCGTGCGCTTAAAACGGGCGGTAGGGTCGCTTTTGTCGAATACCGCGCCGAAGACCGGAGTGTTCCGATCAAGCGTTTGCACAAGATGAGTGAGTTGCAGGTGATTAAGGAGGCGACGCCACATCCGCTTGTTTGGGTAGAAACGCTTGATGACTTGCCGTGGCAGCATGTTATTATCTTTGAGAAGACTGCGGCACAATAGGGCTCCTCTTTATGATTTAGCACAAACAAGATTCTGACAATCAGAGTGGGAAATATTTGACAAAAAAGTAACCGCGCCGTAAAATTATAGGCGAATTGCTAAACCTTTTGACGAATTCTGCGTCACAATTGCTAATTCTGTTATAGCAAGTTGCCGCTTGCCCTTTTTAATGATTAGCCAACTTGCGAACTGCTGTCTACAACGCTGAAAAGGGAGAGAATACCAGTGAAGACTGCTAAGAACACGATTCCACTAATGGGAACCTTGTTGGTATGTTTCTGTCTCGCCGTATTAGGACTTCACACTGCGCCCGCGGAACAGAGCGAAACGCCACAAACCCCCCTTAAGTACAACCTTGACATCCGCCCGATTCTTTCGGATAACTGCTATGCTTGCCACGGACCAGATGCAAAGAGTCGGCAAGCGAACCTGCGAATTGATACGAAAGCAGGAGCGTTCTCTGAACCGAGCGGATACCCAGTAATCGTTCCCGGTAAACCGGAAGAGAGCGAACTCCATCTTCGCATCACCTCCAATGATGACAATTACCGCATGCCACCGGCGGATTTCAATAAGACGCTGACACCGGCACAAATTGAAGCGATTACGCAGTGGATTCGCGAAGGCGCGAAATGGGAAGAGCACTGGGCGTTCACTACGCCAGTCCGCCCAACGCCACCAGATGTCAAGAACGGAGATTGGGCACGAAACCCCATTGATGCGTTCATACTTTCACGCCTTGAAAAAGAAGACTTACAGCCCGCAAACGAAGCCGATAAGCGAACCCTCATTCGACGTTTAAGTTTTGACCTCACTGGCTTACCACCGACACGTGAAGAAATTCATCAATTCCTCGCAGACAATTCACCCGATGCCTACGAAAAAGCTATTGATGCTTTCATGGCAAAACCGGAATACGGCGAACATCTCGCACGCTTCTGGTTAGATGTCGCACGTTACGGTGACACGCACGGACTCCATTTAGATAACTACCGTGAAATGTGGCCCTACCGCGACTGGGTTATCAAGGCATTCAATAAAAATATGCCGTTCGACCAGTTCACGATCGAGCAATTAGCGGGGGATCTCTTGCCGGAACCGACGCTCGAACAACAGATCGCTACAGGCTTTAACAGATGCCATGTCACGACAAGTGAAGGCGGTTCGATCGATGCGGAATACTATGTCCGATACGCGATTGACAGAGCCGACACTACCTCCAGTGTCTGGATGGGATTAACTGTTGGATGCGCGCAATGCCATGATCACAAATACGATCCGATCACGCAGAAGGAATTCTATCAGCTCTACGCTTATTTCAACAATATCACCGAAAAGGCTATGGACGGCAACCGCAAGGATTCTCCCCCCGTTGTGAAGTTGCCGACCCCGGAGCAGGAAGCCGACCTCGCCGCGTTTGATGAACAGATTGCTCGAACTGGATGCACAGACGAAAGCTTCTATCTCAGAAATAGATGCGACGCAAATCGCTTGGGAAAATAGGATACCGCACTGGACGCCACTGAAACCGACCTCGCTCTACTCAAAAGGCGGTGCGCAACACTTGAAGTCTTAGAGGACAGCTCTATCTTAGCCAGCGGCACTAATCCTGAACAGGAAACTTACGAGGTCATTGCAGAACTGCCACCCGGAAACCAATGGAGTGCTGTCCGCTTAGAGAGTCTCACACACGAATCTCTACCGAAAGGCGGAGCCGGCAGAAGTGATAACAGCAACGTTATCCTGACCGATTTTGCGCTCTTCATCGCTCCACCCGCAGCAGATAGCGAGGCACCTCCGGAAACGGAAAGCACCGATAGCGAGGCTAATGCTGAAACGCAAGCGGAGACCGGAAGCACCGTCGATCCTGATCCTGAAGTACAGGAGGAAAACACACCTGTCGTCGAGACCGACGTTGAAGCAGAAACGGACAGCGAACCAACGAGTGAAGAGAGTGCGGAAAATGAGACCGAAAGCACCGACCCCGACGATCCATGGACACCCATCCAAGTTGTGTATGCATGGGCAGACCACGAGCAAGCACTCGGGGACAGCAATCTCGATGGTAGTCGTTGCAAATGCGATTGACGACAAGCCGGAAACCGGATGGGCACTCGACAGAAGGAGCGAAAATCGGCAAGCCATCTTTCTTGTCGCCGCTCCGTTTGGGGTAGAGGGAGGCAGAGCTGAAAATCCGTCTCAAGCATGAATACGACTTGCGGCATAAGCAACTTGGGCGATTCCGACTTGCGCTTACAGATGCCACAACGATTTACCCCATCGGTTCCAAAATCACTCTTGGAGACTGGCACGCTGCTGGTCCGTTCACCGCTGAACACGGTAATCTCGCCTTCTACAAGGTTTACGAACCTGAAACGAAAAATGTCAGCACGGGCGATACATTCGAGGTGAACGGTAAAACCATCAAATGGGAGAAGCAGACACATTGGGTTGACGAACAGGTGCATAACGACATCGTTGGCGAAAACAGTGCCACCTACCTTTTCCGAAACATAACCTCTGTTACCCAACAGAAAGCGCTCCTATACATCGGAAGCAACGATGCCTTGAAAGTTTGGATGAACGGCACAGAACTCCTCGCCAAAAACGTCCAGCGGGATGCGACTGCGGACCAGGAACAGGTGCAGATCAACCTCAAGCCCGGGAACAACACGCTGCTTCTGAAAGTCGTCAATTACTCGGGTCCCTCCGGTTTCTACTTCCGTATGGAAAGCGCGCCACCGATGGTGCCAGCAAATATTGTCGATATTGCGGGCATGCCTCGTGGCGAACGCGAAACCGCACAGACAGAACAGATCCGAGATTACTACCGGAAGAACATCACATTAGATAAGACAGTCAATGAAAATGCCAAGCGCGCCTTCGCGGATCTAAAAACGCTATTTGCTGACTTATCGGAGGTCCAAGGAAAGCGGAACACACTGGACACTTCACTCACGACTACGCTCGTCATGCAAGAGCGGGATGAACCGCGGGGTGCTTACGTCTTAGCACGCGGCGAATATCAAACCCCACAGGAACAGGTTTACCCCCAAACTCCGGCAATGCTGCCAGTCATGGCAGAAGACGCAACCCCGAACCGCCTCGGCTTTGCAAAGTGGCTGCTTTCACCAGAACATCCACTTACCGCCCGTGTTGCGATCAATCGTTACTGGCAAGACCTCTTCGGCACCGGGATTGTGAGAACAGCGGAGGATTTCGGCACGCAAGGCACACCACCGGTGCATCCCGAACTTCTTGACTGGCTCGCAACTGAATTTATTGCCTCCGGTTGGGACGTGCAAACAATGCTCAAATTGATGCTTACTTCGGCGACGTATCGGCAGAGCGCACAGGTTACGCCCGAAAAATTGGCGCGTGATGCCGACAACGTGCTGCTCTCCCGTGCGCCACGGTATCGGTTTGATGCAGAAACGGTGCGCGATAACGCACTCGCCCTCAGCGGCTTGTTATATCCTAAAATTGGGGGTCCGAGTGTCAAACCGCCACAACCGGGTGGACTCTGGAAAGCCGTAGGGTTTAGCGGATCTAATACCGACACATTCGTTCAAGATACGGGTGCTGATAAGGTATATCGCCGGAGCCTCTATACATTCTGGAAGCGTACCGCACCACCGCCACAGATGAACATTTTGGACGCGCCGTCACGTGAAGCCTGCACAATCCGTCGTGAACGTACCAACACACCGATGCAGGCGTTAATGCTGATGAACGATCCACAGTTCTTTGAAGCGGCTCGTGCTTTGGCAGAGCACACTATTAAAGACGGAGGCGACACACCAGAAGCGCGTATCGCCTACATCTTTGAGACGGCAACAGCTCGCCTTCCGAAGCCGAAGGAGCAAGCACTGCTATTGGAGGCGTTCCAAGCCCACTATCAGGAGCTGGAGGCAAATCCGGAAGCAGCCAAAGCGTTAATTGCTGTCGGTGAATCGCCACCTGATGAGACTTTAGATGCAGTCGAAGTCGCGGCATGGACAATGATTGCAAACCTGATTCTCAATCTGGACGAAGTTCTGAACAAGGGCTGATGATACCTACTGGGCGCGACCTTCGGGGCGCGCCCATTTGATGAAGATTCTAAGTAAATCATCGCGCCCCTCAACCACAGAGCAGGCATCGCGAAAGGAGATAGATAATGGACCCAATTCAGGAATATCTGAAACTTGAAACCCGCCGCCAATTCTTTGGTAAATGTGCGTCAGGTCTCGGCGGTATGGCACTCGCCTCACTGCTGCCGAATGCCGTTGTCAATGCACTCGAAAGTCAAGCGAAACCGAGATTTGGCGGTTTACCAGAACTACCGCACTTTGCACCGAAAGCAAAACGTGCCATCTACTTATTCATGTCCGGCGCACCGTCCCAACTGGATCTCTACGACTACAAACCGAATATGGGGAAATGGTTCGACACGGATCTCCCAGAATCCGTCCGGATGGGTCAACGCCTCACAACAATGACATCAGGACAGGATAGCTTCCCGATCGCACCCTCCATATTTGAATTCAAGAAGTATGATAACGGTGGCGACGGCGCATGGATTAGCGAACTGCTACCACACACCGGATCAGTGGCGGAAGACCTTGCGATTATCAAAACGGTACACACTGACGCGATTAACCACGATCCTGCTATCACCTTCTTCTGTACCGGTGATGAAAGCCCCGGCAAACCGAGTCTTGGTGCTTGGTTGAGTTATGGACTCGGTAGTGAAAACAGAAATTTGCCTTCTTTCATTGTGATGAACGCTACATGGAGCGGTCCGAAGGGCGCGCAGGCACTCTATAATCGACTTTGGGGCTCCGGTTTCCTCCCATCGGAACATCAAGGCGTGCTACTTCGCAGCCAAGGCGACCCTGTCCTATTCCTCTCGAACCCGGAAGGGGTCAATGAAAAGACAAGGAAACAGATGTTAGATACCCTCGTTGAACTCAACCAAGAACTCTACGAGGAAGTAGGCGATCCCGAAACGCATGCCCGTATCTCACAGTATGAAATGGCATTTCGGATGCAGACGAGCGTCCCTGAACTTACGGATTTGTCTCAGGAACCTGAGCATGTTTTAGAAATGTATGGACCCGAGGTCAAAACCCCTGGCACATTCGCCAATTGCTGTATTCTCGCACGCCGGATGATGGAGCGCGATGTCCGTCTCGTTCAAGTTTTCCACCGTGGCTGGGATCAGCACGGGGAGCTACCCAAGAACATCCGCAATCAGGCTCGCGATATCGATCAGCCCTCGGCTGCACTTGTCAAAGATTTGAAACAACGCGGTATGCTGGACGAAACCTTAGTCGCTTGGGGCGGTGAATTCGGACGAACCGTTTATTGCCAAGGCAAACTCAGTCCGGATAACTATGGGCGTGACCATCATCCGAAATGCTTTACACGTTGGATGGCTGGCGGTGGCATAAAGGGTGGTATCGTTCATGGCGAAACCGATGAGTTTAGCTACAATATCGTCAAAGATCCTGTCTCTGCTCGGGACATAAATGCTACGATTCTCCACCTGCTCGGCATCGACCACAAGCGGTTAACCTTTAAGTTCCAAGGGCTTGACCATCGATTAACAGGCGTTCAGGAAGAAGCGCGCATTGTCAGCGAGCTCTTGGCATAACCCGAAATATTTATCGTTAGGCGCGCTTTCCAAGCGCGCCTACTTGTTGAGAAGTGGTCAGTGCGTTCTTGGTGAGGTGTTTTTGCAATGTAATACAAGGAATGGATTTAGTCTATTCCCAGACTAAATCCGGTGTTTCCCCAAGAGACCTCACTTCTTAAGCAGCGCGTCGATTCAGACGTGGGGATTGATGAAAAAATTAAAAGCAGTTGTTGTTGGTGCTGGCTGGTCGGCTGAAGGACACACAAAAGCGTTTCAACACTACGGTGTTGAAGTGTTGGCTATCTGTGCCCGCACACCAGAGATCGTGCAAAAAGTCGCCACCCAATTAGGTGTAGCTGAGGCTTCAACCGATTGGCGTAAAAGTCTGTTGAAACACAAACCAGATATCGTCGCGCTCACAACTCCTGCTATTTTGCGGACTGAGGTTATTGAACTTGCAGTGGATCTCGGATGCCATATCATTAGCGAAAAACCCTTAGCACTCACTGCGGAAGAAGCAGGACACATCTACAACCTCATCAAAGACACAGGGCTGAAGCACGGCTTCGCTGCGACACATCTATATGATCCGAGTGTCGCTTACATGCGTCAACTGCTCACACAGCAAAAAGTTATAGGTGACTTAAAAGAAGTTGACATTGGATATACCCGTCGGATTCCAAACAGAACCGCCGCCGAGATGGTAAAACCGTGGAATTGGATGAATTCATTAGCGCACGGTGGCGGCGTATTGAACAACGGTCTCACGCACCGACTCGGTATGCTGGAACGGATGACAGGCATGAAAGTCGTCTCCGCTACAGGTGAAGCCAAGGCAGTTATCAGAGAAGCCCCCGTTGTGCCGGAAATTCGCGACTTTCGAGTGTGGGTCCGTAAGGAGCTCACGGTCGAAGAGGCATCCAAATTTGAGTGGCGAGTCTGCGATGCGGAAGACAATTTTTCGGCACTTTTTTCGATGGCGACGGACCCCGTTAAACAGGCGAAGTCTTCACGAAAAATCTTGGTGACTATGCGGACGCATCCGGGTGTGCCAACGCATACGCCCATCGGCGGTTGGTATTTCTACGGCAGTAACGGGACGCTTGTCGGGCAAGGTAGACATATTTTATCTCCGATTATGCTGTACAATATGGACTCGCAAGCAACGTCTAAAAATATTGACGATACGGCTGAAGAATTGCCCGTGCCGAAACAACTTACCGAGGGACTGCCTCGCATTGGTGACGACATCCAAAACAAATGGGTCGCACTTGTTCGAGACTTTCTCGCGGATATTGAGAGCCGTCCACACGAACCCTATCTGACCTTTCAAGATGGTTGGCGTTATCAAATCGCCATTGATGCAATCCGGACAAGTAAGGGGTGGACACAGATCCCTTGCTAACCACAAGATTGCTTGTTTTGCGCTTGGAAACCGATCATTCAATCGGTTCGTAAGCGATACCCTATCCCTTCCTGGAGACTCCATGCCTAAACTGATTGTCAAAAATTTTATAAACATCCGCGAAGCAGAAATCGATATGGATAAAACCTTGGTGGTTTTCATCGGTGAAAACGCCAGTGGAAAAAGTGTGCTCGCGAAATTGCTCTACCTTTTTCAAGAGTTAATCCGCGACTTTCGCCAACACATCAGACAAATTAATTCCTACCCACCAGAACATCTGAAAACGCCTGGACAAGAACTATCAATAGTATTTCGCACACAAATTGCCCGTAAATTCCGAGAGTTCTTTGGCGATACCACTGGGTTTTCAAAACCGACTGTAAAAAGCAAAGACATTGACGAACAAAAATCAACCGTAGAAGAAGTAGAAACTACAAAACCGTTTGAAATCACTTACCACTATACAGATGATAGTGCCATCAGACTGACGCTAACCGATGAGGAAACGCTCCATATCGAATTACCCGCTGTTATGGACGAAGTTGAAGACCTCTGTTATAAATTATTGGAGAAACTGAAAAGCATTGACACAAAACAGTCTCAAAGTGTTACAACGGAACCCGACTCACCCGAAGAAACAGATGTGGCTTCAGAGGATGCCCCTCAGATAAATAAAAATACCGATCAGTTCCATTATATTTTAAATATGGCGATCGGAATGAGTGACATCACCGAGAAATTAGCCGGTAAACATCGTGACAGTCTCTTCATTCCTGCGGATAGGAATATCGCCGCCAACTATCCAGATGCCCTTAAAAGAATCTTCTATGGTGGCATAAAAAGCGATCTTCATACGCGCGCGGCAACCCGTTCACGCGCCAATCTCCATCTCATCGCACGCTTTTTGGAAAAAAATGAAGAATTCCTTGATACCTTTAGCACACAGAACTTTCGGACCCTTTTTGATGAAAGGATTGAGGAGGAATCAGAAGAAGTCGATAAGCCGATAATGGAATTCTTGCTTAAGAAGATTTCCCTCATTTTAAACGGTGAATATGAAACAATAGACAAAATTTCTCAATCCCGCCTTTTTTCGCACCCGACCGGTGAGAACACAACTTTTTTAGAAAACGCATCAACAGGGCAGCAAAATCTCATCGAATCCTACAAGATGCCTTCATGAGTATGCTTTACAATGAAATGATTTTTCGTGTGATTGAAGAACCCGAAGCACACCTCCATCCAACAACCCAAAAACACTTCATGCACATCATCGCCTTGATGCGAAATCACATTGATAGTCAGATCGTTATGACAACCCATAGTCCGTATCTTTTGGCGGTTCTTAAAAACCTCCTAACCGCCGGACGACGGTCCAAGAAGAATCCAAAAGCTACTGCTGAAATAGAGGCGCGTGTCCCTAAGTTATGTTGGTTAATGCCTGAAGATGTGGAAGTTTATCATCTCAAAGACGGGATAAGCCATGCCATTGTCCAACCTAAAATGAAATCGATTCTCCAGAACCCGCTTGCCGACCTTCTGGCAGATTCTTTTAAACTATGAGATCCTGGGCATCGCTCCACTACGTTCCGCGCAGGAAGAAAAGATGAAAATGTTTACATTTTCATTTTTGTCTCCTGACAGGTGTTTGATGGATCTCAACGCGACTGCGGAGATGTACGCTCTTTAAGAGTTTCTCTCCGATACCGTCCGCTTCACGATGTAAAATAGAAAACGAAGGTAAAAAGAGACAAATGTACGAGAAGCACGGAGAAACCATCAAAGCACAAACCTTCCTTGAGGCATTACAAAGCGATGCCGTATCCGTTACCTTCACGAATTGCACGATTGAAGGGGTTGTTGACCCCTCTTTTATGGAATTGGAGCGGGATGAAAACGATCGGATTCTCCTGAATAAGAAGCTCTTTTGCATTGGGTGTACGTTTAAAAACGTCGTCAATTTCCGGACAGTCGTCTTCCAAAAAGAGGTGGACTTTCGGCGCACCCTCTTTGAGGCAGATATTGACTTCGATGAAGCCATTTTACACGGTCCTTGCGCGTTTCGTGAAGCTATCTTTCAGAAACGCGCCGATTTTCACAGTGCAATTTTCCATAAGAGTGCCAGTTTTTGGCGGGCGAGATTTCATAACGTCGCCGATTTCCATAGGGTTCAATTCAATGAAAACGCTGTCTTCCATGAGGTTAACTTCCTAAATGAAGTCAATTTTCGTCGCGTGCTGTTCCAAGGCATACTTGACTGTACAGGGGCATGGTTCCCAGAAACGACAGTGTTCAACAACGCCACATTTTTCGGTACCGTCAACTTTACCGCGGCGCAGTTCGTCTCCGTCGCTGCCTTTCGCGACATCCACTATGCCCCGGACGCACTCTTTTCACGCGGTGAAAGCCAAGCTTGGCAGAAAACAGCACCGTCCCACCGAATTCTATTTAGATAGCCGATATATAGACGAGGTCGCGAACCCTTTCTTCAAACGGTATGTCGGCGATCAGCAGTTCATACGCGCGTTCAATCAGGCAAACCCCATATTGGCAAAGTTATGGCGATGGAGCTCCGACTACGGTCGGAGTCTGGCACTCTGGGCGTTTTGGTCTTTTTTCTTTGCGTTTCTGTTCGCGCTTGCGTACATGCCGCTTCCGACGTGGGTGCCACCTTGGATGCAAAACTGGACCCCTCGCTTCCATCAAACGACGGGTGCTTATGATGGTGAGCCGTTAAGCTTCTGGAACTGCTTCTATTTCAGCATTGTTACCTTCACGACGCTCGGCTTCGGAGACATCGTCGCGGACAATGCCACCGCGCGTCTTTTCGTTACACTGGAAGTCATTCTTGGGTATCTGATGTTAGGCGGGTTAATCAGTATTTTCTCAAACAAACTGGCAAGTCGGAGTTAATTCACTACGGAAAAGGAGGTGTTTATGCAAACCAGAGCTTTACAGACATTCTTCGTTGTTACCTTCACAGTATTTACTTTCACAATACACACAACAGCGCAAGAAGCCTCCCTCTCGGCGAATACGGACTATTTTGACTACATCACACTCTTCTCTCAGGGAAGGATCACCCGTTTCACACAGATGCCGATTCGGGTATATATCTCCCCTGTCCTAAAAGAGAGTCCGTACTTACCTGAAATCCGATATGCGATGCAAGCATGGCACACCGTCAGTGACGGCGACATTCAGTTTGAAGAAATCGAGACCCCGCAGAACACAGACATCCGTGTCAGTTGGGGCTACACCGGTCTCCTCACTGACTTTCAGGACACCAGACTCGGCAGTGCGGAACTCACGCGCTCCAGAATAGCCATCAGCCGTCAGCATCAGCAATCAGCAAAGAAGCAATCAGCCGTCAGCCGTCGGTTTCCATCAGCAAGAGGGTGTAACTTCGACAGAAAGCCTCTTAACTGAAGGTTTCCGAGAGCCGAGAGCCGAGAGCCAATTTACAGTTGAGGTAATCCTCATGTTAGAAGGGGATGCGACTATCGGTGAACTCTCACAGGAAGAGATGCGTACGGTGTGTCTTCACGAGTTCGGACATGCAATCGGGTTATGGGGACACAGTCCACACCCAGGGGACATCAGCTACCCGACAGCAACAGCACAACAGCCGACCCCTCGCGATATAGCCACGTTGCGGAGACTCTACAGAACACCGCTCGATACACCCCAACACGACGTCGCTGTAGATATGCTGAAAGCCGAGATTGAACAGAAACCCTACGCAGACATTAAAAAACATCTCCGTTCACATTACCTGATCGGAACCGTCTACTTCGACAAAGGCGATACAGCATCCGCAATCGACAGTTTTCAAACTTGTCAGCAGTTAGATGCCAAATTCCGACCCGCAACAGAGAAACTGATCCAAGTCTACCACGAAACAGGCGAAACATACGAGGCGATCGGTCTTCTTGAGAAACGGATAACCCAGAAACCGTCGCCAGCAGACTACAACACCCTCGGCATCTTCTATTACGAGAAAAGAGATGCTGAGAAAGCGATACAGGCGTTTGAAAAAGCACTTCACATCGCACCCTATCACAAAGCCGCACGGCGAAACCTACATCAACTCCTTCGAGCCAAAGGATTCAAAGCACTGGCATCAAAAGACTTTGAGACTGCCGCTACCACTTTTGAAAGGGTGCTGCAGATGGAGCCTCTCGACGCGCCTACCTATCAACTCATGGGCAACGGATACGCCCAAGCCGGGCAATTCGAAAAGGCGATCAGCTACTATCAGAAAGCGATCGACCTTAATCCGGTCGACGCGCTGACACAGCACAACTTTGCACAATGCTATAACAATTACGGTGTATCGCTACGAAACCGTGAAAAATGGGACGAGGCGATTGATGCTTATCGCAACGCTTTGCGGTTGATGCCGACGCTCCAAATTGCCAGAACCAACCTGAGCGACGCATTTACTCGGAAGGCAAATGCGCATAGTGAAGCAGGCGAATTGGATGAAGCCGTGGAGGCGTATCTCGAATTGCAGAAACTCCACCCGAACGAAATGCATATCCGTAATTTACTTGGGAGAATTATATCTGAAAAAAGGCGATTATGCCGATGCATTGTCGGTATTTCAGCACGTCTATCAACGTCGATCCCAACGCCGATCACGCCCTATACAACCTCATCGCTGCCTATCATCACTATGCGCGAAGCCTCAGCGATACGGAAGACTACACGACAGCGATCCAACTGCTTGAAGCGGCACTTCGACTCGTGCCTACCGATCTGAATTTACGGTTGAGTCTGGCGAACGCCTACCAAGGTGCTGAAGACTACGAGCGTGCCGCTATCGAAGTATCGCGCGTTTTGGCACAAGAACCAGAGAACCGACAAGCAAAGGCGGAGCAGACTAACTTGAAAATCCGACGCGGAAACGCTCTCATGCGGCAACGACAGCACACCGCCGCGCTCACTGAATTTGAGGCGATTCCTGAGTCTGCGCGCGATATCGAAATTTATAACACTATTGGTTACCTCTATCTCATGGAAGGTGAACATGAGAAGGCATTTGCTGGCTTTGAAACCGTCCTGCAGAAAGATCCGATTAACATGCCTGCCTTCAGGAATCTACTGTCGTTAGAATCCCAGTTGATCCGCAGACGTGGCAATAAAATGAGAGAGGACACCCTCGTCAAGGTCCGATGCCTCCTTGCTATCACCTTGATGCATCGCAAACAGCCGACTGCGGCGGTCGAAAAATATCAACTCGCGCTGACTTCTGTCAAAAAATCCGGCAAATCTGAAGAGATGGATTCGCTCTTTATTGAAACCGGTAGACAACTCGCCAATTGGTTCCAGCAACATGGCGATACCGAAAACCGCAAGATGATTCTCGATTGGGTTGAAGAACGCAGTGGTAATTAGTGGTAATTAATTCCAGTCTCCTTCGCTGGTGAGGTTTCTAACCTCGCTCCGACCTTTAAACAGCGGCTTAAAAGCAGAAAGGTCGGGCAAAAGCCCGACCTGGAGTGTAATAACGCATGAGACTTGCGTTTGCTGCTGTGCGACGATTACTGACTGCCGCCACCACCGCCACCACCGCGACGGCCACCTTCGCCACCGCGACGCCAACGGTTCGTACGTTGCTGCATCTCTGTGACCCGCTTCTTCGTTAGTTCTGATAACTTCGCCATTTCCTCTTCAGTCAAAATCTCTTTGAGACTCGTGTTGACATCCTTGAGAATTGCCTGTATCTCCTTTGTTGCAGTTTCACGCGTATCGGGTTGACGTAACGCTTCCATCTTCATCATGACTTCGTCTCGACTCACCTGATAGATGGGGCGTGCCTTTACGAGCGTTTCATCGTCCACTTTCACACCAAACGTCAGATCAAGCCAAGAGTTATCAACAAGGGACGCATAGTTCATCATTCCCCCGCCGCCTCGTCCACCGCCCTGACGGTTTCCACGTTCACCTTGTGCGTTCCGGTCGGGTCGCTGTGCCGACGTTGCGTGTTCAAAAACAAAAAGCCCTACGATTGCGATAACTGCGATTGCGCCGATTGTCAAAAATTTCTGTTTCATTTTCATTTCTCCTATTGGAATTTTGATTATGTGAATACCTCCAATGCTTTTGGAAAGGCGTTCACAATTTGGTTATGCCTTTTTAGTCAGATATATTTGGAAAAGGTTCGTTATTTTAATTTTTCCAAATGTATGGTAGTAAGGTCTTTCGCTGTCTCCCTGACTGCATCCACGTTAACCAGTTTTCCAGCAACATCAAAACTCAAACCTTTCGTCTCTTTTAATCGTCTAAGCAATTTAGCACACGCGTGTCGTGTGAAGTTTTCAGCATGCCTAATGGAGACTATACCGGGTGAACGGACGTAAAGCTGCAACGCTAGTGGTAGAAGTCTTTGACACCAGATATGCCCTAACGAGAATTTAGCCAGTGCAGGAAACAAACGCATCCCTTTCCTTTCGCTGTGGGAGTATGTCAACCTTTTTGACTTCTTTTGTCATCCGTTGTGCTACTGTTTTAGGATTGGTTGCGGCGACACGCGATTGGAAGGGTTTCCTGTGTCCCGTGCAATAACAAACACTATTGAACAAAACCCTTTACCAATCAATGGTTGCAAAACCAAAAAGGAATTGAAAATGAAATCTATAATCGCGACATTTGCTGTGCTAATACTTGTAGTACTCGTGGTACAACCGGTATTAGCACAGAGTGTCAAAGATGGACTGGTGGCGTACTGGGCATTCAACGATGAAGATGGCGACATCGCAAGCGACTCAAGTGGCAACGGACACGATGGAACGTTGGAAGGAGACCCCGAATGGACTGATGGAATCTTCGGGGGAGCACTTGAATTCGACGGAGACGGAGATGAGGTGGTCGTCCCGCATGATGAGGCACTCAATCCAGAAGAATTCACTGTGTGTGCTTGGGCAAATGTTGAAAAGGGAAGTGGCGGTGCCCATCGCGCGGTGCTAGCGTCTCGTGATGACTTCCCTCAACGTGGGTACATCTTTTATGCAGAACCCGGCGATACATGGCAGTATTGGACAGGTATTGGCGGTGGATGGAATTCTGTTCAGGGACCCGCAGTGGACGCAGGCGAATGGAGCCACCTTACCGGTATCTATGCAGATGGCACACAAAAGTTCTACGTAGATGGTGAACTTGTAGGAGAAAAAGATGCCGCGCTTAGCATCAATCCAGGTCAGGAATTCCTTATAGGTGCAAGCGCGAATGAACTTGACCCGCATTTGTTCCTATTCAAGGGTAAAATTGATGATGTACGGCTCTATGACCGGGAACTCGACGAAGACGAAATCGCACTCGTGATGGAAAGTGAAGCAACGGCTGTAAAAGCATTGGGCAAGCTGGCTATCACATGGGGACAACTTAAAACCGATTAACAGCACCAGATTCGCACTGTTTTCTGAAGAAAACGGGAAACCTCAATCTATTCTCAGATTGAGGTTTCTTCATTGCAAAACCCTTGCATTTATACTCCGCCGTTCTACACAAGCAGACTCCGCTTTCAACAATCCTCATCGTTTTTATCACTGAGTTTGCCACTTTGCACGACAGAAATATCGTTCATTTCAGACATTGACAGTCCCAAATCTATATGCTATAATAACGTGAGTTCGATATAAGAAATTGGTTTATTATGTAGGTTTGATTGAACGAAAATGAGACACAACACCAAAACGCATGCTTTTGCTCCAGAGGAGCAACATGTTTATAGTAGCCATTCGACTCGACGCTCCCGCTCCGTGGGTGCGGTATGTGGTTTCAGGACACATAGCACTCCTCTGGAGTGCGGGAACTTGGGCATCTCGTTTTCTATAGACATAGCACTCCTCTGGAGTGCGGAACTCAGCCGCCATCAAATCTGCGATAGGTGTGATATATCGTGTCAAACTTCTCTAAGTCCTTAAGTCGAACTCGCGTTATAATAGAGAGAAAGGGAGGGTAGAATGGATTGGAAAGATGCACTGCTGGACATCGTAAAGGATTCGGGCTTACGGCTCCGGTTCAGGGAACCGCTCGCGAAACATACCTACTTCGGTATCGGTGGCGAAGCCACTGCTTACATTGAGGCCAGCACGACAACCGAATTGGCCGCAGTCGCACGTTTCCATCGGCAGTGGAATGTTCCGGTCGCAATTATTGGTCGTGGCTCAAATCTGTTGGTGAGCGATACCGGCTTCAACGGCATCGGTGTCAGGTTAGTCGGGGAGTTAGCGAAACTGGAGGTTGATGGGAACGTCGTTTCGGTCGGCGCAGGTCTTTCATTGCCGCGACTCTCGAAAGCGATGTCACGGCGCGGTCTGAGCGGTGTGGAATTTGCGCTCGGCATCCCCGGCTCGGTCGGCGGTGCACTGATTATGAACGCTGGCGCCTGGGGGAGTAGTTTTGGAGATGTCGTCACAGAGGTCACAGTCATGAACGATACTGGTGAACTCGTCAACTTAACCCACGCCGAGGCAGACTTTGAATACCGACACAGCGGTTTGGACACCTATTTCTGTGTTACAGGCGCGACATTGAAACTTGAACCCGGGGACGCTGACACAATCACGGCACGGATGCAAGCATTCTACAAACAGAAAGTTGAAACGCAACCCTTCGCCGAAGAGAACGCCGGATGTATGTTCAAAAATCCACCCGGCGATTCCGCAGGAAGGCTGATCGACATCAGCGGTTTGAAAGGTTATCGTATCGGCGGTGCAGAGGTATCCACGGTACACGGGAATTTTATTCTCAATATCGATAATGCCACAGCGTCGGATGTATTGAACTTAGTCGCGCATATCCAACAGCAGGTACGCGAAAAAACGGGGACCTCCCTACAGACAGAGGTAAAACGGCTGGGGTTTGACGACTAATCAGCCACTTCGCTGGAAATCCGGTGCGGTTGCAAACCGCACCTACCGTGCCTGGAATCGAGACTTATATTTTTCCTAAAATTGACACCTATGGTCGGATAACCGTGCCATCCATCCGCCGCACGGGTGCCCAACCGCCGTTGAGTGGATCCTCTGGAAACGGGAATCGTGCCGCGAGTTCTTCATCTAAATCAATGCCGAGTCCCGGTGCCTCATTTACCCAAAAACAACCTTCTCGAATTTCGGGACAACCCGGGAAGACCTCTTTGGTATTTTCACCGAAGACATGCTGCTCCTGAATACCGAAGTTATAGCATGCGAGATCCAGCGCAACGTTGGCGGCATGCCCAACAGGAGAGACATCGCCAGGACCATGCCATGCAGTGCGTACGCCGAAAAATTCACAGAACGCGGCGAGTTTACGCGCTGGACTAATACCACCGATCTGTGAGATATGCACCCGGATAAAATCGATAAGTCGATCCTTGATAAGATGGACGTATTCATTCGGATTGTTGAACAATTCACCCATCGCGATTGGGATACTCGTCTGTTGACGCATGAGTTGGAAATAGTCAACATCTTCGGGGTGCAAACGGGTCTTCGAGGAAGAAGAGGTTATATGGTTCCAGTCCTTTAGCGAGATTAATCGCTTGGATGGGTGGGATGCGTTCATGTATGTCGTGTAGGAGTTCTACCTCGTCGCCGAGATGTGTTCGCAAATGATCGAAGAGTTTGATGATGGTATTGACATAAGGGGTCGGTTCAAAAGCGGGTGAACTCCGCTTCCCGCCGCCCGCACCATACGTCGAATAACCCGGTATCGCCACTTGTGCGCGGACATAGCGATAGCCTTGCTCCATATAACGGCGGATACTCTCCTCTACCTCCTCGAAAGTCCCACCGCCTGCGTGTGCATAAAGCGTTGCAGCCTCTCGGCATTTACCGCCGAGCAGTTGGTAGACAGGCATATTGGCACGCTTGCCCATGATGTCCCACAAGGCGATGTCTACACCGCTGAGCGCGTTGTTCAGCACCGGACCATTTCGCCAATAGGAACTGACGAAACTGGTTTGGAAGATATCCTCTATGTTCGTCGGATCTTTCCCAATGAGAAAGGGCTTGAGATACTCATCGACTGCGGTTGCTACAGCGAGCGGACGCTGTGTAAATGTGGCACAACCGATTCCGTATAAACCGGGTTCACTTGTTTCAATCTTAACAACAACAAGCCGAGTCCCATTGGGTGCCGTCAGAATCGTTTTTACATCCGTAATTTTCATTTTTTAATTTTTCCTTGCGGTTCGGTGAGGTCAGTTTGATAAAATACGTGCCTTTCCGTAGAGTCGCCCTCCATTTCATTACGGGCTTGCCACTTTGGATTCCAAGAAGAATGGTTTCTTACTTTTCCTTGCGGTTCGGTGAGGTCGGTTTGACAAAATATGTGCCTTTCCGTAGATATGCAGAAACACCCAAGCAAAACCCCTTCACTACGTTACAGGCTACAATCTGGGTGCCATGAAAACAAAGTATATCAAAGGGGATGCGCCGTGTCAAAGGAATTTGCACAGAGGCATTCAGTTATCAGTTATCGGTTTTCAGTCCACAGTCTTGGTAGATTCGGTTGCAACCGTAGCAATGTTGTCTGAATCGCGGATTGTCACGGATTACACGGATTACGCGGATTGGTTTTCGTGGTGTGATGTCTTTAACCCTGTCCACATCAATCGTGCTTACAAAACCTTTCAACAAGGGTGTTTAGCGAGACTTGAGTGGCTCTACAGTTCCTATCCCTTCAAAATAAGATTCTGGTAGGTATCAACAACAGCAGAGAAATTTGGGGGTATTACAGTGGTCGCGCTAAATTCCGTCACAATCGCGGGACCTGCGATTTGATTGCCGGGACGCAACGCCTCACGGCGGTAGAAATCGGTTGGGAGGGCTTCACCTTCAAAAATAACAGGATTTTGGTCAGTAAACGCTTCAGAGGCATCAGCATCGGCGAGTGGGACTGATTGGATGGGAGGGTTAGCGGTCTCCGCAGTAGCTGTAAGCCGAAGGTTGACCACTTCCACTGGCGCATCGGTTCGGGCATAGCCAAACCGCAGTTCATGCGCGGCGTGAAACCTTTCAATAAGAACCACTATCTCACTTGAGCGATCATGCTCCCCGGTAAAACAGGGGATATTCAACTCGTAAGACTGCCCCTCGTATCGCATATCAAGCGAACGGTCAATTTTAAGCTGGTGTGGGGAAAACGACTCCATCCTCATCTCATGCTCCGCGCGGGTCAAGAGTGTGTCAAAACCGGCGTTCAATGCCTTAACAAGATTTTCACTATCTTCGTTGCTCTTTTCGAGCTGCCACAGCACTGTCTGCGAATAATCTTTAACGACATCTGCAAAGAGCATCCCGTAAGCAGAGAGCAAACCGCCGTTTGGTGGAATAAGCACTGTCTTGATGCCGAGATTCTCTGCCATAAATGCGGCATGCAAACCACCAGCACCGCCAAAGGAGACAAGCGTGAAATCGCGCGTATCGAACCCGCGCTCCACAGAGATGACCTTGATGGCGCGCTCCATGGCGGCGTTGGCAACCTTAAGAATGCCGTCTGCCGCTTGCAGCGGTGGAACGCCAAGACGCTTCGCAAATTCCTCAATGTGTGTGCGGGGCTTATCGACATCAAGGGACATCGCACCCCCTAAAAACTGGGTCGCCGCGATACGTCCCAAGTAGAGGTTCGCGTCGGTTACCGTGACATCTTCTCCGTTATTTCCGTAGCAGATGGGACCTGGATCTGCTCCTGCACTTTCGGGTCCGACGCGTAGTGCGCCACCCGCATCCACAGTCGCAATAGAACCACCCCCGGCACCGACGGTGTGAATATCAATTAGCGGAACTTTGATCGGGAGTCCACTAATGGTGCTCTCGGTCGTGAGGGAGATGCCGCTATTGCAGAGACTCACATCCGTTGAAGTGCCACCCATATCAAACGTGATGATTTGGTCGTAGCCAGCAGCCTTGGCGACTTGATACGCACCAATAACACCACCAGCGGGACCGGAAAGGACAGTGCGGATACCCGCGGATTCACCTCTGTATAGCAAGTTTTCAGCTTGCAAGCTACGCTGAAAAATATCAGCAGAGATACAACCGCCGTTGGAGAGCATCAAACGGAACGATTTTTTAATTTTACCTTGCGGATAAGTATCGGTCACCTGTTTCTCGACGTTTTTCGTGTTCGAGTCGCCCTCCATTTCATTACGGGCTACGGTTTCGTTAAAACTGCCCAGCAAGTCAGAATCGGTTAGCGTAGAGAGATGCCGTTCCAAAGTAGGACGGATATACGCGTTCGCTACAGTGGTGCTGAACCGCGCATACTCTCGATATTCCGGTAAGACTTCGTGTGAACATGAGACGGGTATATTGAGCCGTGCGAGGTGTTTCGCAACAATCTGTTCGTTCTGTGGGTTGACGTAGGCAAAGAGGAAACAGACCGCGATGGCATCAAGTTCCAATGTAGCAAGTTCGGACGCGAGTGCCTCTAAATCGTTAGTCTCAATTGCGGTTTGAATCTCACCTGTGTGCAGTGTTCGTTCTGATATACCGAAACGTCTATCGGCAGGGACAAGGGGAGCGGGACGTTCCACGAAGAAATCATAGAGGTTCGGACGTGCCTGCCTGCCTATCTCTAAAATGTCCTCAAAATTTTTCGTCGTGACGAGAGCGATACGGGCACCTCTGCGTTCAAGAAGTGCGTTCGTTGCTACCGTCGATCCATGGACAATGTCCAGTCGTTCAGTATCGGTAGAGGAATCGGAGTTACAAACCCTTCCCACAATTTCACTCACACCTTGTATTACAGCGAGGGCAGGGTTCTGCGGCGTGGACAGGACTTTGTGCGTGAACAGGTCGCCATTAATACGCATCACAATGTCGGTGAAGGTACCACCCGTATCAACCCCGATATTTTTAACTATCGGGGTTTCCGCTCGATTTTCTCCGTTGTCGAAAATCGCTTTCTGACGAGATTGAGACTCATCCGAGGCTAATTGCATCTTTTCCCTCTTTTCATCGGCGGCTTCTACACAACTTTACGAGCGACTTCTCTAACAAAATCTCAAACAACTATGTTCTGTGGTGTGCCTTCCAGAAAAGCGATGATATTGTCCACCGCGCCCTCGTTAAGAAGTTCAACGCCTTCAGGGGTCATATCGGCACAATGTGGGGTCAAAATTACCTGCTCGCATTCCAAAAGTGGGTGGTTCGCCGGAGGTGGTTCCTGATCATAGACATCAATAGCGGCACCACCGAGGTGTCCACTATTCAAAGCCGAAGCCAACGCATCTGTATCAACCACACCGCCACGTGCGACGTTGATTAGGAGCGCGTCCTGCTTCATCAAACCGAGTTCACGTTCCCCGATGAGGTGGTGGCTCTCCTCAGTCAGTCTGACGTGCAGACTCACAACATCAGCCGTGCGGAGCAGTTCATCGAGAGAAACAAACTGAACCCCCAACGCCTCTGCGCGTGCCGCTGAAGGGTGATACGTCCACGCGATAACGTTCATCCCGATCGCCCGTCCAAGGCGTGCCATCTCTGCTCCGATATGCCCAGTGCCTATAATTCCCAAAGTTTTCCCTTGAAGGTAGATGTTATCCATACGGGGCCATCCACCTGCCTTCATAGACATTGTCAGAAACGCCGCCCGTTTGGCGAGCGCGAACATCAGTCCAAACCCGTGTTCTGCCACAACTGGAGCGGTACGTCCGGGTTGATTGCAAACGGTAATTCCACGTTTTTTCGCTTCATCAAGTCCAATCATATCGGTGCCGATAGAGCAGAGCGAAATCAACTTGAGCTTGGGCAGTTGACATAGGATCTCCGCGGGCCATTTGACGAGTCCGCGCGAATTGATGAGGATATCTGCATCTTCGGCACGGCGAATTTGCGCTTCGGGGGTTTCGGGTCGGTCGGTGTAGAGAACAACATCACCATAGGGTTTCAGACGTTCCAAATGCGGCGAGCCTTGGATTTGCGGTGGTGAATCCCCAGGTACAATAATTTTTAATTTTCGCGAGGCGTTAGATGAAGTTTTTTGTTTCATAGCGGTTTTTGGATTAGCGTCGCCTGCGTCCGTTGTAGCAGGCTTCTGTTAACGAAACGGATAGATTTAGATAGATACATCCCGAATTGTGTCGCCATCGTAGACGCTGTCAATGCTATCAATTGTGCCGTAATAGATTGGCACACCGTTATTGCGGATCAACACATTAGATGCGTCACATCCCGTAAGCAACAGGAACAGCAGAAACGCTAAACTTATTTTTTCAGGAATGCGGTGCGAAACAGTAGAAGCATAAGAGCCTTTATAGTAAAGCCTATAATTACTTGGACGCTCTAAAGAGGCGAGGATACAATCCTCGCCAGCGGCGGTGGGGTCGTTGTTCACTGACGAACTGTCCACATATTTTTGGACTTTACTATAAGAGTGAACGGCACGGCGGAGCGTGCCTACTACCTTTTACGGCACGACGGGGCGTGCCCGCCACTTTTTAAAAACACTGACGGTACAGGGCAACGATCTCTTCAGCCGTCGCTTGCCGTGGATTGTTAGCAGGACTTCCGCTTGCAATCGCGTCCCTCGCCATCTGTTCAATGACATCCTCGAATTTCTCTCTGTCAATACCGATTTCACCGAGTCGTGGCATCTGAATATCGGTGACAAGCCGTTCTACGGCATCAACTGCTGCGTCCGCCTGCTCCATCGGGGATAATCCGTCGATAGGCTCTCCCATGGCGGACGCAATATCGGCAAAGCGAGCAGGGGCACCGACGACGCTAAATTCCATCACATCGCGCAACAACACTGAATTTGATAATCCATGATGGATGTGGAAATACGCACCGATTGGACGAGACATTCCGTGAACTAAAGCCACAGATGAATTGCTGAATGCCATCCCTGCGATAGAGGCACCGATCATCATATCCGTACGGGCAGGGATGTTTTCGCCATCTGCCCACGCCTGCCGAAGCGAACCGGAAATCATCTCAATCGCCTTCAATGCGAGTGCATCGGTTATCGGTTGGGCGCGTTTGGAGATGTATGCCTCTATTGCGTGCGTCAGCGCATCAACACCCACCGCTGCAGTCAGATGCGGCGGAGTTGTAAGGGATAACATTGGATCCACCAGCGCGACATGCGCTAAGAGGCACGGGCTACTGAGCATCATTTTGACAGATCGAAGATCGTCGGTGATGACAGTAACTTTGGAGACCTCACTGCCTGTCCCGCCTGTGGTGGGTATAGCGATGAGCGGAGCACCCGGATTCGGGATCTTGTCCACACCCATATAATCGGCGAAGTCCCCGTCGTTCGTCAATTTCACGGCGATGCCTTTTCCGCAGTCAATGGCACTTCCGCCACCGATGCTCACAATTACATCGCAGGCTTCGTCAGCATATTGCTTTAAGCCGTCTCGCACATTCTGTAGGGTTGGGTCGGGTGTGACATCAGAAAAGCATGAGGACGCTATTCCGGCATCATTCAAATTTCGGGCGATCTTGTCGGCGTATCCGATTTTGGCAATGCCCGGATCGGTAACGATGAGTGCACTTGTTGCGCCGAGCCGTTTCGCCTGTTTGCCAACGCTCTCGGATGCGCCCGCGCCTGTAATTATCGTGAGTGGGAGTGTTAATGTCGTAGGCAATTTTCAATTCCCTATAAGAGTTAAAGCAGCCCAAGACGCTCAAGGTCTGCTTCTGTCCATTGCGCTTGCTGCCCAATAATAGCCCTGAGAGTACCAGGGGCAAAAGTTTGGCTCATTTTGTGAAGATGAATAGCTGTTGTCCGTCCATCCGGGTGTGCAAAAAAGCGATTTGCCCCTTTTCTTCTGGATTCATAAAAACCGTCTTTTTTCAAAGTACGTATCAATCTCCGCGCCGTCAGTGAACGTAATCGACTGTAATCGATGGACATATTAGATAGTTACAGCGATTAAAGGGACATCGCTGACCTGAATTTGTGAGAGGGATTCAGATTGGCTTTTTTCTTGATCTGCCAATAGCGATTCAAAATCAATTTCTTCGCCTTGTTCCAGTAGATATTCAACAAGAAGATCAACAGCGTCTTGTAGATTCTTTAAAGCCTCTTTTTGGGTATATCCCCAACTTGCTGCACCTTTATGCTCTAAGGCGGGAATATATGCTCGCCAGACGGCATTCTCATCTGGATCATCGGGCCATTTATCCTTTTCCAAGACAACCTGAAATGCATACGTTTTCATGTGTTCCTCCTATGGGAGTATTTATCATAATAATTGTCTCCGAGTATAATTTCTCAAGGACTGCAATAGAAAGATCAGAACTTCTAAGATAGGCTGTACCGACAGTATAAGCTACGTTGGAGTTTAAATCAAGGGTTTACGCACAGCGGCTCAGGACTATTTAGTTTTCGGTTCCGATCTTGGTTTTCGTTCACAGATGTTAAGGTTTTCGCGCAATATCGCGAGCACAGCTCGCTCCTACAGCGGAAAAATGTTCACACACATAAAGTAAATATGTAAAACTAAATGACCCTGCACAGCGGCTAACAGAACAGAGACTTAGGGGCCTCGGTTAACAACTAATGCCGGAAATGTCGGACGCCTGTCAGCACCATCGCCATGCCGTAAGCGTCCGCCGTCTCAATTACAGGAGCGTCATTGACGGAACCACCGGGTTGAATGATGGCACTGATGCCCGCCTCACCGGCAATCTCGACACCGTCAGGGAATGGGAAGTAGGCATCTGAGGCTAACACTGCTCCCTTTGCCTTTTCACCCGCCTTCCGGATAGCGATAATAGCCGCATCCACTCGACTCATCTGACCCGCGCCAATACCGACGCTTTGCGGGCCGTTGGCAAGCAGGATGCAATTCGATTTGACATGTTTGCATGCTTTCCACGCAAAAAGGAGGGATTCTGTCTCTGCTTCCGTTGGCGCACGAGAGGTTACCACCTCTAAATCGTTAGCATCTAAGTCGTGGACATCTGGGTCTTGGACCAGCATACCACCGGTAATATTGCGAATCTGCAAGACAGGTTCCTCAGTCGAGAACGATCCAGCTTCAAGAATCGGTCGGCGTTTAACACGAGACAATGCTTGCAGTGCCTTTTCGGTATAACTTGGTGCGATAATTGCGTCAATTTTCACACCCGCGCTTGCGGCTTCGCGAATGATATTTGCGGTTTGGATTGTCACTCTCCGATTTAACCCGACGATCGAACCGAAGGCAGAGGTCCGATCGCATTCCAATGCGTTCGCGAAGGCATCTTGCAGGTTGTCAGCCGTCGCAAGTCCACACGGGTTATTATGTTTGATGATGGCGCAAGTAGGAGTCTCGAAGTCCTTAACAATCTCTAAGGCAGCCTCTAAATCGAGGAGGTTATTGAAGGAGAGTGGCTGTCCACTGAGTTGGTTTGCCCACGCGGCGGACGCGCCTGGGCGGGTTTTAGTTTTGTAGAAAGCAGCGCGTTGATGCGGGTTTTCGCCATAGCGCAGTGTACACTCCTTCTTGAAACGGAGCGTCAGGTCAGTGGCGAATTCGTCCGGTTGTGAATCTACGTTAGCGAGATAGGCGGCGATTGCGGTGTCATATTGTGCGGTATGGGCAAACGCCTTTTTTGCGAGTTCAAATCGCCTCTCTTCCGAAAGGCAACCGTCGTTTGCATCTAAATCGGCGATAATTTGGGAGTATTGGCTTGCCTCTGTGAGGACAGCAACATGCTTATAATTTTTTGCGGCGGCGCGAATCATCGTCGGACCCCCGATGTCAATGTTCTCAATCGCTTCGGGGAGCGTTACATCGGGCTTGGCGACGGTTGCCTCAAACGGATACAAATTGCATATCACCATGTCAATGGCGGTAATGCCGTGTGTCTCCGCTTGGATACTGTGTTCGGCATTATCCCGATCAGCGAGGAGCCCTCCATGAATTTTGGGGTGGAGTGTCTTGACTCTACCATCCAGCATTTCAGGAAAGCCGGTGTAGTCAGAAACATCAAGGATGTTAATTCCAGCGTCTCGCAGGTGCCGGGCAGTGCCGCCGGTGGAGAGGATTTCCACACCCCGTTGTGCGAGGGCATTGGCTATCTCTAAGAGGTTAGTTTTGTCGTAGACACTGATGAGCGCACGTTGTATTTTTCGCATGTTGTTGATTCATTCTAAGGTTTAACGGCATAACGGAGTATGCCTACTACTTTTTGCGGTATAAAGGTTTAACGGCATAGCGGAGTATGCCTACTACTTTCAAGTAAGGTATCGGGGAAACCCAAAGCCGTCATTTGCGACGTGGCTTCGCGCCGGGATCTGTGAACGGTTGGGTATAATCAGGTCCATTTCTGATGTATTTTCAATGATCGTGCCATCTCCGATGCGCACCTCATCTCCGATATAGATTTTTCCGGGATGCTCTGATGCGCCGCGGATCGTTCCAATGACGACTGATGAACCGATGCGACACCGTTGTTCAATTTCAACAAACCCATAAATTTCGGTGTTAGTCCCGACAGTGGAATGGTCAGAAACCTGAACAGGTCCGAGCAAGCTGGTGTCCGTGCCGATTTCAACAAAATCGCCGATGACGGGATGTCGTTGTTTCACCTTGACACTCAATCCACCGAACGTGCTCGGATAAATAACGCAACCGCAACCGATAATGCCCGTCTGTCCAGTGGTTACACCGCGATGCGGATGCTCCAAGAAATTGGCATCGCCAATCTGCGTCTCTGGATGTAAATCGGCTTGATAGTAGCGCCCACCGAGTTCCGAGATGGCGCGCGGCAGCAATGGGACCGGAATTCTGTGAATGTTTGGACTCTCCTCAAGGTCATCGCTTCGTGTTAAAGCGTGTGCGACATCATGGTAAAAGAGTACACGCCAACCGGGATACGTACTCCCTACCAATTGGAGTTGATAATCCAAAACAGATGCGAGATTCAAACTACCAAGAAAATCTTGGTACGGTTCAAAGGTTCGCTCCTGAATTGCGGTATCAATTTGGGAACGGAAATCAAGGGCGGCGAGTTTTTCGCGAGAGATACCGGTGTGGAGGAGATAGGCATCCCAGACAGCCGGATCTTTAAGAGAGGCGAAGCGATTCCAGAGGGCTCGATTTTTGAGCCGTGGCAGTTCCCAGAGGAGCGAAAAAGCGGTTTCAAGCGCGGCACCGAGACGTGTTTCGTCCGTAACAGCCAAAAACGATTGCGCGACCATCGCATATAACTGGTCTGCTACCTCTTCAATCGCTTCCGAGAGTTCACGCCTTTGGTTATGCAACTGCGGAGCGTTATGCGACCCCGGTGCGACACATTCCAGCAAATTGCCAAGCACGGTTTCAAGAATATCCCGATTGACAAATCCGCGTCCAGAGCGTTGCGCTAACCCCTCCCGACTCATACTATCAATACGTAAAGCGTTCAATTCGGACTTGCTATAGATGGGACGCAGACGTTCCAGTGTTTGGGTCAATAGCGGTTTTTTTCGGTGTTCGTAAGAAGCATCAAAAAGTGTATTTTTAATTTTCCTTGCGGTTCGGTCAGGCGGGCGTGGATAATGACCTGCCTTCCCGTATACCCGCCCTCCATTTCATTACGGGCTACGGTTTTTCATTCTATCCAAGATAGCCGCCTGCAACAACGGCGCAGGCGGATACAAGAGGAAACCTGAATAAAAAAACGCCTCATTTCTCGCCTCGCGAACATTTAAAAACTTCCTGTGCAGCGGTAACGCCAGCACCCAATGGAACGTCATATCCTATCTCCACTAAGCCTCGCTCAAAGGCAGAAATGGCGACGATAACGTCATTTTCATTCATCCAACCGAGATGTGCGATCCGGACGATTTTTCCGCTTAACTGACTCTGACCGCCGGCATAGGTGATACCGTATGTGTCGCGCATCAGATTGATAAACGCCTTTCCATCGATTTCCGCTGGCAGGCGGATAGAGGTCAAAGTATTGGCTGGAGATGCTGCGAAGAGGGAGAGACCCAGCGCTTTAATCGCACTCCGAGTCGCGACTGCCAAGCGATTGTGACGGGCGATGGTATTGCGGATACCTTCTGCACAGATGCGATTTAAGGCACATTGAAGTGCCGTGAGCAGTGTTATCGCCGGTGTGTAGGGGACAGAGCCCTCCAAGCCGCTTTGGTGTGCTTTTCGGAAATCGAGATAGTATTTCGGAAGGTCAGAACACTCAACCGCGCTCCATGCACGTTGATTGAGCGCAGCGAACGCCAGACCGGGCGGTGTCATCAAGCCTTTCTGGGAGCAGGAAACAACAACGTCCACACCCCAATTATCCATCTGTAAATCATCAGCAGCGAGCGCGCTGACAGCATCAACAACCAAGAGGGATCGAACGAACTCGCGTTAAACGTGCCAACGCCTCAATGTCGTGCAAAGCACCCGTCGATGTCTCACAGAGCGTTGCAAACACCGCTTTTACATCAGGGTGTTTCGTTAAGAGTGCTTCAACTGTCTGTGGCTCAACAGAATCCCCCCATGTCACGTCAATCGGGATCACTTCGATCCCATAAGCGGTGCAGATGTCGTTCCACCGTTCCCCGAATTTACCGCTCCGAACGACAATTACTTTGTCTCCACGAGACAGAAGATTAACGACAGCCCCTTCCATAGCACCGGTTCCAGACGATGTTAGAAAGAGGACATCATTCTCGGTTTGGAAAGCGTGTTTGAGTTTTTCAAGAACATCTTTAATGAGTGTTACAGCGGCATCGCTGCGGTGGTAATCAATCGGTTGCGCCATTGCCAATAGGGCTTCAGGCGGAATCGGCGTGGGACCGGGTGTAAAAAGCAATTTCTTTTTCATTTTTTTAATGGTTATCGGTCATCGGTTATCGGTTTTCAGTATGGTTTTTGTATCAGTTAAACTTCTTTGTCTTTTAATTGATAACACGAGTATGGTTTCACATTATTAGAAAACACCTCAAACACTAAAGCTTAACTGATAACTGACAACTGATAACCGACAACTATTAAATTAGGCGGTGTTGACAGCGATAATTGTTTTGCCCTCAACATCCACAACGACCCATTCTTGATCAAGGAGTTCACACAGACGTATAATTGCGGCACGTTGCCCTGTGCTATCCATCGGCACTTCAATGGTGAGCGTAGCGAATTCTTCTCGCTGGACATCACCCTGTTTATCAAATTTCATTGGTGTAATCTGAATTTTTTTCAATTTTGCATCCATATTTTTTCCTTTACTTAATTTAATTAAACTATGCGTCATCCATGAACGACGCGATATCAATGCATTCTCCACCACGCCGGGAAGACTCCCAACCTGCTAAAATAGGGGCTAAAGAGAAGAGCCCATCGTAATAATCACTTTGCAAAAGACTTGCATCCCCAGACTGAACGGCGCGGATAAAGGTCTTATCTTGTTCCAACCACGGATCGAATTCGTCGGCTTGATAAAGGACCTCGCCATTTACCACAATCCTATCGTATCCGTGAATTTCGAGGCATCCACCTTCATAGAAAATAGTAAACCGCGGTTCATTTTTCGGACCCGGACCGGCGGCGACAAAGCTAAGCGTCATCGTAGCACCGTTCTCAAAGCAGTAATTGAAACTGGTAGACAGAGCATTCGCATAAGCCGGGCGTTCACAATAAAATGCTTGGGATTTGGCAACGTTCAATCCTGTCATGAAGCGGGTATAATCGGTTGCATGAACACCCCAATCGAGGGCACTTCCCCCAGACTTGTCCATCTCTTCCCACCATGTTTTGGCTCCACCCTCTGTCGAAGGTGGTAAGCCTCCGAAACTCTGAAATCGGGCATGCACGATGCGCTTGTCCGTCAAATATTGGCGAGCCTCTTGGAAGATCGGACGATACCGTTCGCGAAACCCAACGGTGCTGATAACCCCCGCTTGCTGAATAGCATTATTGATTCGGTGGGCAACCTGCATCGTGAGTGCCTGCGGCTTTTCACTGAAGATGTGGATCCCTTTTTGTGCGGCGGTTACTTCAACATTGGTTCGCACATACGCCGGTACGATAGAGTATAGCACGTCAATTGCTTCGGTGTCAAGCATTTCATGAGCGTCTTGGTAGACATGCGGGACCTTGAAGCGTTCAGCTGTTTCTTTGTGCTGTCTGCGAGTTACTATCACACGCAGCGACAATATCCACCGAATTCGTCTGTAATAGGTTCGGGATTCGGGTTCGGTTCGCGAAGTTTCCACATCCATAGAAAGCGACACGAACGCGCGGGGCTGTTGACACGATAAATGTTCTCCAAATTATTGAGATTTTTTAACTATGGGCTCCTGGGCATCGTTCCATTTCGTTTCACGATGGTGTCTGGTGAATCGCGACCGGGTTGGCGATATGCACGCTCTTAATTCTGTTCTCTTCGCTTAACTCTGCCCAAAATATGAGGCAACCAATACTAAATCCTGGACATTCACCACGCCATCACCGTTCACATCTGCAGTATTCACGCCGGTTTGCCCAAAATTCGATGCAATCAGCACCATATCTTGGATGTTCACCACGCCATCACTGTTGACATCCCCCGGTATTTGGAAGAAAAATGGCGTGAAGTCCCACAGCAAAACCGTACCATCGTCACCCCCGCTGGCAAGCGTGCGACCGTCGGGGGATAGCGCAAGTGTGTTAACTCTGTTCATGTGTCCCCTAAAGACACCTAAGCGTCGTCCACTGTCCACATCCCACAATCGAATTGTGCTATTCCAACTTCCACTCACAAGCGTGCGACCGTCAGCGGAGAACACGAGGGATCTGATCGGACCTACATTCCCCCGAAAGTTGCTTTGGGTTGTTCGGTATGTATATCCCAGAATCGGATACTTCTATCCCGACCCGCACTCACGAGTGTACTGCCATCCGGACTAAACACAATAGCCTCAATAGGTTCTGTATGCCCTGTCAAGGTCGCTTGGCGTCGCGCAGTTCCGACATCCCATAAGTGAATTGTGGCGTTTCTACCGCCACTGGCAAGCGTGCGACCATCCGGACTGTACGCAACAGCATAGACATCCTGTGTATCCCCCAATATTGCTCTATTTTCGCCTGTGTCAACATCCCACAATCGAACGGTGTTGTCCCAACTCCCACTTACAAGCGTGCGACCATCCGGACTAAACACGAGAGACTCAATACCATACTTATGCCCTGTGAGAGGTGCCTTGGGTTGCGCTGTATGTGCATCCCACAAATGAATTGTGGTGTCAGGGTTTCCTCCACCGCTGGCGAGTGTCTCACCATCTGGAGAAAACGCAACGGAAAAGACCCGCCCTCCATGTCCTACGAGGGTATCTTGGAAATGCCCTGTATGTGCATCCCACAAGTAGATTAGTTTGTCATAGTTCGCACTGGCAAGTATCTGACCATTTGGACTGAAGGCAACCGCATTAACTGCAATAGTGTACTCGGTGAGGGTCGCTTTATGCTGGTGAGTGATATAATCCCAAAACTGAATCACCTGATCACTGCCCGAACTGACAAGTGTTCTGCCATCCGGGCTGAAGGCAACGGATTCAACCGAACGTTCATGCCCTGTGAGGGTTCCCTTTAGGTCGCCAGTGACAGCATCCCACAATCGAACCGTTTTGTCATTACTCCCACTGGCAAGCGTCTGCCCATCTTGGGAAAACGCCACTGAATTGACCCCACTCGTGTGTTCTGTGAGGGTTGCTATGTGCTGACCGGTATGTGGGTTCCACAATCGAATGGTGTCATCTATACTTCCACTGGCAAGCGTTCCTCCATCTGGACTGAACGCAACGGACTCAACCCAGTGTTCATGCTCCGTGAAATTAGCGATTTGGTATCCAGCTTTCACATCCCATAATCGAACCGTGTTGTCTTTCCAACCTCCGCCGCTGGCAATCATCTTTCCGTCAGGGCTAAATACGACAGAAGTGACAACCCCTGTATGCCCAATAAAAGCCGCAATATGGTTTCCCGTAGCAGTATCCCACAATCGAATTGTTTCGTCCGAGGTTCCACCCCCACTTGCTAACGTGCTGCCATCTGGAGAAAACGCAACGGACGTAACACTGCCCATATTGTCGCCCTTAAGGGTTGTCTTGTGTTGACCTGTATGTGGATTCCACAACCGAATTGTTTTGTCCCAACTTCCACTCGCGAGTATCTGTCCGTCCGGAGAGAATGCAACACACGAAATCCTTGACTCATGTCCAGTGAGTAAGCCAATTTCTTCATGGGTATCGGCATCGTAAAGCCAAATACCGACAGAGGTGCCGACCGCGAACCGAGTGCCATCCGGGGAATACTGGACGTTACTCGTTATCGCGCCTTTACCAAGTCGGGCTTTGGCACCTTCGGGTAAATGCCATTGGGTATGATCTTGGGCGAAGGTGTTTGGGAGAGAGACTGTCCCAACAAAAAGTATCACCAAGATCGAAAATCGCGTCAGTTTCATCAGTATAACCCCTTGTTCTCAGCAAACCGCCTGCCGGAATTTTACGCTCTCCAGGGTGGAACGTCCCACGTGTTGAACCACTCCCATTTCCAGATAACCCGTTTCTCTGGCATTTTCACCTCGTATTCTATGCCTGCGGTGAAAGGGAGGAGGTGCGTTCTGTTTCCCACTATTTCACGGATTGATTCAATAAACGCCATTTCATCGGTGACGTTTGGGGGCCAGTGCCCTGCTGGTATCGGGTCGGATTTCCGATCGGTTCGGTAATGTGTCGGTATCACGAAGCGCGGTTGAATTAACTCAAGGAGTTCTATGAGCCGAGATGCAAGTCCCTCGCCGAGACCGAGTTTCATGTGAATCAGGAAATCTACCCTGCCTCGGAGGTTTACTAACGCTGGATAGGGTTCGTGCAAGTCGCCAGTGTGTAAGATAGAGACATTTTTTGCGGTGTGTGTTATCAGATAACCGTTTGTCGGGAGATTTGGCGTTTGGTTCTCGCCACTTTCAATCGTCTCGACTTGAATATCCCCAAGATCGAGCGTATCTGACCCTTGAAACGCGCGCGATGTCCCTTGCTTTTCGTTGAGATGTTTTGGGTAGAGAATCTGGACCTTATCGGCAGGGACATGCTTGGTAATCGGTAGATCGCGCTCAAATGCGGCATCCCCGTATTTCTCAGCAATAGGTTGTGCGGGTGTCATGCAACCGACGTTGACAAATAACTTTTTAAAACGCTCACCGCAACACAACTTCCGCAAGGTTATAGGGTGGCAGTGGTCGAAGTGTTCGTGGGAAATAAAGATATAGTCGTATATCGGTTCGGCATCCGCTAAGTTCTGATCGAACAGATATGGATCGAAAGCGATATTGATGTCTCCAAATCGGACATCAAATGCGCCGCATCCCCACCATCTTAAATATATGTTTTCCATAGCGAGAGCCTTTCTGTCTGGAAAGCCTATTTCAGTAGCCACATCTTCCGGACGCTTTGTGTATCGCCTGCCCGGAACTGGTAAAAATAGATACCGCTGGCTACGGTTTCCCCATTTCGATTTTTACCATCCCAATAAAGCGTTTTTTCACCATGAGACTGCTGTCCGAGGTTAAAGTCTCGAATCAATTCACCGTTCTGTGCGTAGATTGTGATCTGCACATCAGTGGACTCGAAAAGGCGATATGGAATCCAAGTTTCTGGATTAAATGGATTGGGGTAGTTTTGAAAGACCTCGGCAGCTTTTATCTTTCCCCATGTCGTGCTCTGCTTACCAATTGGTTCAACAGCTACCGCTACGTTTTCGGCTTCGGTGAAAGTAAGGACATCCGCATCAACGCCAGATGATGGTAAGTTTCAACAAGACCTGAGGGCCAGGCTAAGGTAACAGAATCGATCGGATGAACAGAAGAGATACCGAATTCCAGTTCTAAACTATCACTGCCCAAAAAGCCGGTACCGCAGATTAACTCTTGTACCTGAACACGGTTGCCTACAACCACCGATACCCGTGTGCCGATTCCATCGCGATTGCTTTTCGTTCCGCGCAACCGAATTTTTATGTGTCGATTGTCAGAATCGACATCATTTTGAAGGAGCGTATTACCGGTGTTGTTGACAACGTAAAAATCGACATCTCCATCGTTATCAAAATCACCGGCGGTTGCCCCGCGTCCGACGACATCAACACTGACGTTTAGGGCATCGGCACGGTCCACAAATTGCCCGTTCCGATTGTGATAGAGACGATTACGATTGGTTTTCTGTGAGTTATCAACATCGCCGTTGACGACGTAAAGGTCGCGCCAACCGTCGTTGTCAAAGTCAATGAAACTGGCGTACCACCCGACCCCCTCGTTTGCGACCCCAACAGCTTCAGCGACATTCGTGAAGGTGCCATCCCCGTTATTGCGCCAGAGGAGATCTGCATCGTAATTCGTGATGAAGAAATCCAGGTCGGTGTCGTTATCGTAGTCTCCGACGCAGAGTCCCATCGCACCTGTCGGTCTGCCGTCGATTTCGGTCACGATGCCGGACTGCTCTGAAACATCTGCGAAGGTGCCATCGCCCCTATTCCGATAGAGTTTGTCGGGTCCATGGTCATTTGCAACGAAAAGGTCTGCCCAAGTATCACCATTGTAGTCAAAGAAGATTGCTCCCCAGGCGATCCCATCGTCAACGACGCCAGCGACATCGGTGGTTTCTTCAAAGGTACCATCTCCGCGGTTTCGGTAGAGAACATTGGTTTTGGGAGCGGGGTTAGGGTTTAAGAGGGATGGCGATCGTCCCCAATTAGCGATGTAGATGTCAAGCCATCCATTGTGGTCATAATCGGCGATCACGGGACCCGTGCCGTGTTTTTCGTCTCCGACACCGGCTTGCTGCGTCACGTCTGTGAAGGTGCCATCTCCGTTGTTGTGAAAGAGGAAGTTAGGACCGGCACAGGTTATATAAAGATCGCGCCAACCGTCATTGTTGTAGTCAAACCAGACACACCCGCGTCCCCTTGGCGTGTTTGCGACTCCCGCTTTGGCGGCTTCGTCTGTGAAAGTGCCATCGCCATTGTTGCGGTAAAGTGCATTGGGTAAGCCTCCATCGCCAACGACGAAGATGTCAAGCCAGCAGCCATCGTTATCATAATCCGCAGCAGCGGTCCCGGGACCCATCCAGGCCCCGGATTCCGCATCAATAGGAATTTCACGTTGATAGACATTTGCAGTGAGACTGACATCGGTGAAGGTCGAGGCTGCTAAGGTGGAAACACCAAAGAACATCATAAAAATCATCAGGCGGTACTGCATAAGGGGTGTCTATCCTCAATATTGGGTTTTTACGGCTGCCCAAGTTGTTGTTGCTTTTCCACCGGGTTCAACAGGGAAAGGATTTAGGTTATCATTGAAGTATTCGTAGTCTACTTCAAGACTCCCTGCGCCTGCTGCGACACCGGCATAAACACCGAGCCATAAGGGTGGCGTGAGTTCAAATTCAGTCACACCAATCTCAATCCAATCTTCATTTTCCTTGGTTTTATACCAAGCACTGTATTCATCTGCATCTTTGGCGAGTCGAAGGAACAATTCAGTTTCTCCAAATTCAGGGGTGAACCCAGCGTTTCCGGTGAGACCACCACCACCTTCATTCTGTTTCGTCTGATATTGGATTTGCCCTTTTGCGGCTGCATCTCGTGACCAGAATTTAATGGTTACCCAATTGTCATCCTTCGGGCTTTTCACGACAAGCCCATTGACCCCGGAACTGGTATCCCATCTGGCAAAGAAGTGGGTTTCGACATCAAATATATCTGTGTCGGTTTCCTGATACAGCAGATGTGATTGGTCAGTCGCCCAGAGATTTCGGTTGGGTTCGCTGTCAATAAACAGAAAATTCTCACGGGTATCGCCGACATCCCATTTGGGGGGTTCGTTTTGCCATTCCCAATTCGGATTCTGTAATTTGCCCTTCTCAAAGGGGTCGCCGAATGAATCCTGTGCAACTGCAACACCACCGAAAACGAGCATTAGCAAACATATACCTGCACTATACTTAATAATTTGTCCAAGTTTTAGTGTAGTCTGAAAGCCAAAACCTACTGTTAGAAATCGGATTTTCATAAATTTTTCATAACCTCCTACCTCTAATTTTAAAATAGATTACCGAGATTGTCAAGGCAAATTGAGCGGATATTCCCGAAGAAAGCGCAATGAATTGCGCGACTACGAACCAAAGACTGCGTGAAAACGGGTCAACCGCGTAAGTCCTATATTTGATAATCTGCTATAGGTGACTCTGAATTGTGAGATGACAATGTGTTTGCAGTTTTGGGCATTTTAGGATGGGAGTCAATCGCGCTTTATTCCGACGACGACATTTTCAGATGACACATCTTCCGGTATGACGACAAAAATCTTTCCAGATTCGCAGCTTTCGCTCTGTGTTTTCAGATACTGTGATATTTCAGCGTCGTCAAGGAGAACCGCGCCATCTGCAGTAGATTCAGGCGTAGGTCCGAGCGGTGTGCCAAACTTCCGAATCCATTTGAAGACGGTACTCGGTGATACTGAAAACATCTGCGCGATTGCGGTTATAGAAATCCCACGACAGTATAGGAACACCGCTAAGGCTCTCTGCCACGGTGGCCTTCCACGGGACGTAAGTCGTGTAAACTGAAATCCACAAGATTTACATTTATAACGTTGGCGTCCCCTGGCTTTCCCATTTTTGACAGCATCTTCCCGTTTGCAACGCGGACAGTTCATCGCGGTGTGCCTCCTTCAAAATATGATAAGAGACAGTATAACATAAAAACCACTACTTTAGCAATAGACCTGTTTTAGGCTCCAGGACTATTTAGTTTTCGGTTCCGATCTTGGTTTTCGTTCACAGATGTTAAGGTTTTCGCGCAATATCGCGAGCACAGCTCGCTCCTACAGCGGAAAAATGTTCACACATATAAAGTAAATATGTAAAACTAAATGACCCTGTTTTAGACTCAGGACATCTATAGCCCTCCTTACTGTTACCGATGGTGAGATACCATAAAACTCCCTAATGCCAGTTATCAGCGGTCAGAAGCCACACTGGTAGGCAAGATTTAGAACCAGAACGGGCAACCTGAAACGGCACAAGGATCGTGATACACAGGGCATCGCTTAAGACCTCCTTCGTACAGGAAAGCCATATTTCCCTATCAATATAGACTGTAAAAACTTGATTTAGAAAGCGGAATTGTGGTAATATCTAATACATACTTCCCACCACGGGACCAGCGTGATATCAAAGTGCGCTCAATTTTACGGTGTTGCTTGTGGATAACTATCAAGCGGAAAAACCTTGTTAGAGGTGTGAAGATGAGAACAAACAATCAAACGCCGCGCTCTTATGGGCTGACTATGAATTCTTTGAAACACATCATTCAACACTGTCACCAACGGCACGAAAAGCCGCTTCGACAGCGGAAGACAATGGTAACGCCTGCGTTGTATAAAGGTCTTCCTTATCATTTCACGGTTCATTGCGCCTGGAAATATCCTGTAAGGCTCTATGAACTCGAGCATGCGGACATCTCCTTCATGCCGATAGGACGCGCACCTGAGCGCGACCACGGTCCAAGGTCTCTTGGGGGTGAACGGTTTTTGAAACGCCAGAGCATAGCAGACTGGGAGATCGCATTATGGCACAAATCATGGGGAATACAGGTGTATACAGGCACACCTTCCGAACGTGATGGCGCGCAATGGCACGACATTGATTTTACGTATGATGCTATCTGCGCTGCCCCCGATGCTGTTTTAACTTGTATCGAGTCTCTCATCAACGCCGTGGCGAATCCGCTATTGACGATGACAAAGTCGGGTGGGTTGCGTTTTTCTTGCAGAGTGTCGAATTATCTCCATCCGAATACCCCTGAGGCGAAGCAGTATATCTACAAACACACATCGATCTCGGAAAATCCGTATCACCGCGACGTGTATCTCGAAATCCTTGGTGAAGCAGGATATAGCCGCTGGGATGCCCGCTACGAGATCCTGCTTGGCAATCTGTTAGACCCACCTATCATTGCCAAAGAGGTTCTCTTTGCTTTTATTGATGTGCTTCGTGCTGCGCTTCACCAACCTGCATCGCCAAGAGAACAGAAATTGGAACCCACCCCGCAAGTTGCACCTATTGTGCCTGCATCCCTCGGTTCGCATAATCTCAATCTTGCGAGACAGGCGTTTTTGAAGCGCGGGTTCTCTTATGTCCGACGAGAAAACAGGATTCACCACTGGGCATTACCCGGCAGCGGGGAAACCACCACATACATACTGCTATGGGAGGATGAGGAGGGTGTATGGGTCCGGGCATCTACGTCTGATACTGGATTGCCGATGGAAACTACACTCATAACAGATATCTGGGACGACACCGGCATTCTGCCACCGATACCGGCTACTGGATTGCCTGTAACAGATAAAGTGCTTGCAGTTCGGGAAGGGAAACTGAGTCCTTTAGCGATAAAACGTCCGTCCCCGGTGCTATCCAAGCAGGAAGACGAAAATAAGGTTTACGGGACACTTGAAGAGACTGCCGTTCAGATGCAGCGTGTTTTCAATCGAGATGCTCGCATTCTCGGACTTATCGCCGAAACGGGGGCAGGAAAAAGCCACGCAGCAGAGTCCTACGTTCTCAGTGGTGGTGCGATTCGCTTAAACGGGAAATATGCAACGGCAGAAGAAGCAGAACAACGCTTTCAAAAGCGAAACGTGTCATCGGTCGCACGTAGGAGAAATCGGCTGTACTTGTGGGAGCAGGTAAAAGATATACCCGCTGAGGTTCGGATGGCGAACCCTTTTCAACACGGTAATGTCTGTGAGGACCCGGAGCGGTGTGATGCACTTGAAAAAAAGGGTGGAAACCCGAATGAAAGTATCTGTCCGCAGTGTCCCGTTTACAGAGAGTGTCAGCAGCGTGGCTATTTATCGCAATCCGTTACACTGCAACGCGCCAAGGCACAGATATTTAATCCAGTTAGACTATTTTTAGATCCACGACACTCAAGAACGGCAGGAGAAATACTTGAGCCGACAGACGACACAGAACGGCTCTGTATCATTGATGAAGCAAACGCACAACAGCTGTTTGTCAAATGTGCCGTATCAAGAAACACATTGGAAGAGTGGCGTGTGAACTGGCAAGGGAGTTCCTTAGGTAACATCGCCAATGCCCTACTACACGCGTTAGAAACCAAAGGCGAACTTGACGACAATGCTGTCAGGCGGATCCGCACAGCGATGCAGGTATTTGAGCAACAGGAAGAAAAGCTTGTCCAGCAGATGTGCCAAATCAATGTCTCGGGTAAAGTGGAGAGCCGCGGGATTGTCGATAATGAAACTGGGAAGGAAATGGCACGCTTTACTCTCGAATTTGAGGAAGGTGTTTTCGCTTACATTCCCTTGGATACAAACGCCGCGGATAGTCTCAGGGCAAAAGGACTACCTGTTTTTGATTTTGACTTCTCGGAACTAAACAAAGACGTGAAAATCCCGATGTCGATAACACAAGCCATTGCGTTAGGCATCTTGGACACGTCAACCGTAGAAAGTATTCAGGCATTCCCGACAGTCTATCCGGACCCAAACTGGACGTTCTGGCATCAACTCAAACGTTTTTTTGCACACTACACGCGAGATGCTGACGCACCGATGTTGTGGACTGGAAAAGACCTGCAGTTCTGGGTGCCATCGGTGTTGCATCCGAGGGTCAAACGCTTTCTGTTTATGTCGTCAACGCTCTCCGAGCGAGATCTCCGCAAGACATTCCCAGATGAGGAAATTGAAGTCACCCACATCAAACCCACAGCGTGGATCGCCGGAAACCAAGTCTTTCAGATTCGTACAAGTACCTATCCACGACAAACAATTCTAAACTACGATACCGACTGGGACATTCTCGGCATGTCCAAAACGGGGCAGCGCTTTTTCCTCGGTATTCAAGCAGAAATTGAGCGGGACCCAAACGTTAAGCATGCGATTATCACCAGCGCGCCAACACTGCGACCTTTGCAGAATATTGCAGCAAAGCAAAACGTCCTTTTCGCGAAAGGTTTCAAAGAGATAGAAGCGTTAGACACCACTTTTGAAACGGTAGATGTGATTTGGATAGTCGGTGCGCCCTACTGGACACCAGGTCTCATTTGGCGGCACTCACAGATTTTGTTTGGAAACGAGGAAAAACCGCTCTGCTATGAAGGAGATATGGAGTCTTGCAGCTACAAAGACGAACGCGTTCAGAGCATTTATGAAAAAAATGCTATAGGTCTATTTACAGAGATTATAGGTCGAGCGGGGTTGACCCGCTTACCAAACAAGAAAATTGTATTGCTCACCAGTGCGCGATTGCCCGACATCACCGATAGACCTGAAACACTCCTTTTTGACTGGGAAGATTTTGAGGTCGCCGGTGGACTGGACAAACTCCCTGAGGTGATAGCCGAACGCCAGCGTTTTGAGGGAGAACGAGACAATCTCACATCGGAATCCGGGAGAGAAAAAGTGGAACAGGTCTTGGGAATCTCAAAAAGTCAAGCGAACCGTGTGTTGACGAAGTTGAGGGGTGGGAAAATTCAACGCGTTTCCTTCCACGAGCAGATCCGCTCTCTCCTTGAAGGTGGTGAGAAAAAGACATCGGAACTCACTGCGGCTATTGAAGGACATCCAGGAGCCGTAAAAAATGAACTCAAGCGTCTTATAGATAGCGGTGAAATTGTAAAGGTCCGGCGAGCTGTATATGCTCTGCCAAAAGCGTAGTTCTACTAAGGACGATATGTGTACATAAAAATAATGTTTCCCCTCTCTAATCCGTTGATGCATCAACTCATACCTCAAGCGCCCCCCTTTTCACTTATCCGAGCGTTGCCTATACACACCTCCACCTTCATGAAACCCACTGCCGAGATACATCGGGGTGTGACGCGTTCATTTTGAAATATGGAGTTAGTTTGCTGTCCTCTGGGATGACCCCATATTTTCCGATTTATTATACAATGTCACCGTTTTAGTTTTAAGGGAATCTTCAATTTCATTTGCTATTTTTTTTCGCATCGTATATTATATGTTTAGAGGAAAATTGTAAGCTGACATTGCGAACAGACGATAGATCTCGAACAGAGGGTCGTAAGTCTCCATCAGAACCTCAGTAGGAGCACATTGTGCTCACGACGCGCCCCAGCGCGTAAAGGAGAACACAATCATGGCAGGGAAACTGAAAGTAGCAGCAGTTGGGTGCGGAGGCATCGGGCATCGTCATCAACTGGGGTATCTTCAGCATCCGGGTGCGGAATTGGTGGCAGTGTGTGATATAGACACCGCTAAAGCGAAGACACGTGCTGAAGAACTCGGCATCGCGAAGTGGTACGCTTCCATCAAAGAGATGCTTGCGAATGAAGAGTGCGACCTCGTAGACGTTGTAACCGCTGATTACCTGCACTTTGAACCCGTGATGGAATGTCTGGAAGCCGGAAAACATGTTATCTCTGAAAAACCGTTGTCACTTTATATCAATGAAGCGGAACAGATGGTCTCGAAGGCAGACGAAAAAGGTGTCTACCTTGCTATAGATTACAATCGTCGATTTGCCCCCGGGTATGTCCAAGCACGGAAGTGGTTTGATGCCGGTGCTATCGGGCAGACTTACTACTTGGATATGAAATTATCTCAAGGTGGACCCGCCTCAACGTGGAAAGGCGAATATTACCTGCTCTATGAATTGGAAACCCACGCGATTGACCTGCTTCGATGGTTTGGCGGCGAAATTGTCGCTGTTTGTGTGCAAATGGCGAAGCCGCGGCAACATGAAGTGCGTGAGGGTGAAGATGCATGTTATACCAGCATGGCTATCTCTTTCCGTTATGAAACAGAAGCAGTCGCTACGTTGATGGCGAGTTGGGATAGCGATTTCATCCATCCGATCGAGCGCCTCGAAATCTGCGGTTCCGATGGCGAAATCGTCGTTGATAATGTCCTCACACGCGCAACCTTGATGAGACGGGAAAATCAGGTCGTCGAAGAATACCGTCCCTCCATTTTTAGAGAGGAACAACTTGCTTTTGATGGAACATTCGCCTTACGGGTGGCTGCCCTCGTCGATGACTTACTCGCCGACCGGTCGCCTGCCCCAACGGGGAGAGATGGTTTGCAAGCGTTACGTATTACTGAAGCTATTGTGGAATCGTGGAAGGAAAAACGGGAAGTCGCAGTTAAGATCGATCAAGAATGACACGTAAACCATATCTCACGCAAACCGTTTCTATATGTAAGGAGGAGTGAAGCATGAAACACTATCTGTCTTATGCAAGAGAAGTTCGTCAAGAATTACTCACCGGTTCGTCATATTCAACTGTGCGCGCTTGTGTTGCGTCGCTTGTTTTCGTACTCCTGGCAATAAATTGTGGTCCGCCCCCTCAAGGACAGTACCACGTTCCTGAAACGGTACTTGCCGCTGCCGAGAGGAATACGAGACCGCAATCCGGACAGAGCCAAGCCAGCTTACCTGAAAGTGCTACCGTCCAGTTACAAAAACTACCCTACGTCAGAAACGCCTTCAAAGAACCCCCGCGCGTTGGCAGCAGAGGTGGACTCGATGATCTTTATGCAACGACCCGTGGTACAGTGCAGCACCTTGCCATTATCTCCAACGGTTCGCTCGATGTCTTAAAGGCATTTATTGCGAAAGGGTGGCCCCCTATTGTGATGATTCAATTCCAAGGACGAAGCCCAGAGATATTGACGTTGTCCGATTACAACGACCAGTTAGGCGAAATATCACTTCAGAATCCGACCAGTCTTACCAAACGCCGATTGAACTACGCAGATTTTGAGACAACTTGGAGCAGGAGTTCACGGAACAAATGTGTTCTAATCACACCACAACAACTCACAGAAATAGATGTTCAGAACGTGTTAGGGAGATATTTACCTACAGAAGCGTTTCAAGGAATTAGCGTGAGAAGCCGCTAATACTACACTCACCCGATTTACAGCATCTCAACCCGCCATCGCCTTAATTATGGTAAAGCCTATAATTACTTAGGCACCGCGGTAGGCGCGGTTTCAGACCGCGCCTACCAGGAAGTGTCTACCTATTTTTATAATTCACTATAGAAAGGGATACAACTTTGAGAGCTCTTCCGTTCACGGCTGTTACAATTAGCGACCGGTTTTGGGCACCTCGGCAGCGGACGAATTCCGAGGTAACGATCCCACACGAATTGGGACAGTGCCAAACAACAGGTAGAATAGACAACTTCGCGAAAGCCGCTGGCTTGATGTCCGGAGAATTTGAAGGTATTTTCTTCAACGATTCCGATGTCCACAAATGGGTGGAGGCGGCATCGTATACGCTTCAGACACATCCGAATCCAGAATGGGAATCGGATCTCGATGCGGTCATCGCAAAGATCGCCGCGAGCCAACAGCCTGACGGTTACCTGAATTCCTATTTCACACTGGTCGAGCCGACGAAGCGGTGGCAAAACCTCGGTATCATGCACGAACTCTACTGTGCCGGACACCTGTTTGAAGCAGCCGTCGCGCATTATCAAGCCACTGGAAAGAGCACCCTGCTTGACGTTGCCTGTCGATTCGCAGACCTCATCGACAGCATCTTTGGTCCGGGCAAACAAGACGGACTTCCGGGACATGAAGGCATTGAACTCGCGCTCGTGAAACTGGCGGGCGTTACAGGTGAGGCACGCTACTCGGCACTCGCGGAATACTTTGTCACCCGGCGTGGACATTCTCCGTCGGTCTTTGAGAAGGAATTAGAGAATCCGGACATTCCGGGCGGACTCGAGGCGTATCAACATCATTTCACGCGCGATGGAAAATTTGAGGGGCATTACGCGCAAGCGCATCTCCCGATACAGGACCAAAGCGAATGTGTTGGACACGCGGTGCGTGCGATGTATCTTTACAGTGCCGCCGCCGACATCGCTTATGAGACAGGCGATACCGCAATTATAAACGCCCTGGAAGCACTTTGGCGGAACGTAACAGAGAAACGTCTGTATGTCACCGGTGGTGTGGGTCCTTCTGGACACAACGAAGGATTCACAAACGACTATGAGTTACCGAACGTCTCTGCCTACGCCGAGACGTGTGGGTCTATCGGACTGATATTCTGGGCACACCGAATGTTCCTATTGCGCGGTGAGTCGCGCTTTGTCGATGTGCTGGAGACGGCACTTTACAACGGTGCGCTCTCTGGCATCTCGCTTGATGGCACGGGCTTCTTCTATCAGAATCCACTGGCAAGTCACGGGAGTCGGCATCGGCATGAGTGGTTTGGGTGCGCGTGTTGCCCGCCGAATATCGCGCGACTTCTCGCATCCATAGGACAGTATGCATACGCCGAATCGGACGAAGGCGTATGGGTGAACCTATACATCGGTGGCACTGCCGACGCAACTGTTGCGGGAGACGTTTCGGTGAAAGTAACTCAGGAAACGGATTACCCGTGGTCGGGTGATGTCAGGATAACGGTGGATCCGGAAACGCCTGTAACATTTGGATTAAATTTACGAATTCCGGCTTGGTGTGATGCCTTTGAAGTGCGTGTCAACGGATCGGTTCACACGCCAAAAACGAACGCTGACGGGTACCTCTCAATTCAGCGACAGTGGCATGCAAAAGACACAGTTAACTTGACACTCGCCATGCCAATTGAGCGGGTTTACGCACATCCACTTGTTAAAGAAAATCTTGGACGGTTCGCTTTACGCCGCGGTCCCCTGGTCTACTGCTTTGAGGATGTGGACAATCCCGATGGCGTTTTCCAGACGTTGTCGCTGGTAGATGGTGCCCCCTTAGAAACAGCGTTTGACAGTGAACTCTTAGGAGGTGTCACCCTCATCCGTGGTACAGGTACAGTGCTTGATGCCTCCGATTGGGGAAATAACCTCTATCTACGTTCAAAACCACATTTGAAGCGCACAGACGTCACGGCAATTCCGTATTACGCATGGTGCAATCGCGGCGCGGGACAGATGGCTGTATGGGTTTTGTAGTCTTTTCCCCTGAAGCACCGACTGATTCAAACGAGAGCCGTTTCATTGTTTAAGTCGTCCCCATGTGATGGCGAGTTTTCCTGCTGCTTCGACTGCAAGTGGGATGCTGGTCCTTGCGCCATTTTTACCCTCCAGATGATATGCGTTGCCTGATGCGTCTGAGAATTTCTGTGTTCCGCTCGGCTCATCAAAATGCCACAACGCAGCCGTTTTTGCGTCATTTTTGAACTTGTCGTCTGGCATAAAGCCTTTTTTGTTGACATCGTAACGAGCCTCCGTTGAGATGCGGACCTCATCAATATATCCAGTAAAGGAAGCATAAAACGATTGGCAGGGGCAGGCACTCAATTATTTTCCAAACCCTCCAAGCACGAAGTCCTTTGGAAGCCAAGCACGAGGATCTCCATCATCTCCGAGAGGATCCCCGAGTGGCCGTATCGCTACGAAATCATTGACGATCATTGTTGTCTGATCTCCATTTGACTGATAAGCGACGTGTGTGCCATTGGTTCGGCACAAGCGGGATCGGGAAAGCTAATCTCCGACCGCCGAACTGTCCCTCAATATAGGCATTCATTAGCAAGATTAGGTCCCCCTTCGGGGGCTCAATATTTAGCAGATTAGCCACCTCATTTAGGTACGGTTGAAATTCATCGTTCACGATGAGCATACGCACCTGTTGATGGAGTATCGTCAATAACGTGTTCCCGTTGTCGGGCGGTGTGGTGGGATATATCCATGCTTCGACGGTGAACTCTCTCCGTGCCGTTGGGTAAAGGTCTACCGAAGGTTTCAAAATCTAAAACGGCGTGGTCGTCGACCCCATCGAGGACTAAATAGTTTCCACCTGCGGGTGAAGCGGGTGGAAACGCTTTAGCACTCAGCGGAAGTAATATTAGTAAGAGACATGCGAGGATTTGTCGGTATATCATTTTTTATCTCCTTTTTCGTCATGAAATGCTGAAACGTCATTAGTTTGCGGCGTAAAATGGCACAAAGTAACAGTTTGTGCTACAATAGACTTCCGCCATAAATATTCAAGTCGAACTCACGTTATTTACTGTTCTTCGGAGACCAGGGACGTGTGAAATATTCCTTGTCTTTCGACGATACTATAGAGTCTATCGTTAATGATAGCCGAAGAAACTATTCCGCTTGGCACTTCTGTAGAAACCTGCTTCCATCGACTCCGGGTATCCAAGCGGTAGACACCCGCATCGCTGATACCATAAACTTTTGGTCCCATCTACAGCAAAGTTACTTATGATGGGACGCGTGCCTGCGCTATCGGTTGGCACGTGCCAATGCTCCGCGGTTTTGGAGACCATAACGCCATTATCTGTTGCGACGTAAAGGGTTGACTCTACAAAGACTATATCTTTGAAGCGAGTGAAGTGGAGTGGCAGACTTGGTGTGATGTCTCTCCAGCTACCTCCTTCATCGAATGACTGAAACAGTTTACCATTCCGGTTGCCGGCGTAGACGGTTTCTCCTAAAACCGCTAATTTGAATCCCTTCCTGTAATCATCACGAGATCCATCATATCGATAACCATCGTCTACTAACCCAGTGCTTGTCCATTCTGGATCACCCAATTTCCATTTGTAGAGCTCCCCCATGTATTCTACATAAAACACATCACGACTGACTGCAGCAGTCTCCGTTCTCAGTCTACCTGTACGAATATACTCTCGATCATTTGACTTATAATAAAATTTTTCATAGCCAATTTTTCTACGATCAAAAATTGGGACATCTCGAACTGGAATGAGCATATCGCCATCGGTCAATAAACGGAAAAGACCCACATTGTCTACTCCGGTTTCTGGACCTGAAAGAGAATAAAGAATGTCGCCAACAGGTATCAGTTTTGGCGCAAAAAATTATCCTGGTAGTGGGGATGTTGAGGACAGCTTCCCGCTCATGATTCCACAGTTTTTTCCAAGACACGCCTCCATCGGTTGATTGATAAACCTCATAGCCGGTATGGGCATATAATCCATTGTTAAACGCGACGAGATCCACTATACGAGTTCCGATCACCCCATTCATAAATATATGCCATGACGCACCACCATTCGTCGTGCGGTGAATGCCCCCTGCATTCGCTTTGTAATACGTTCTCTCGTTGACCATTACAACTGGAAGGCGACGCTTGCCCACAAAATTGGGATTCTTTCAAGTTTTGTCCACGTTTGTCCACCATCTGTTG